ATCGGTTATCAATATCAGGCAGAATTGTCATATCGGTGAATCGCTAAAATTTACATTAATCTACTAATTAAAAAATATTATATGTCATTATGTCAAAGAGATCTGGGAAAAACAAAGGAAGAGGAAAACAACATCTGAAATTGCATAGAGTGATAAAGGGATAATGTGTTTTTGTAGGCCAGAAATGAGTTTAACACGTTTAGCACTTCTGTTTTTTTTAAATGGGTTATTTTGTAAAATGGCTGAAATAAGGTCTGTGGTGAAAACAAGCTTAAGATATTTTCTAGTTTTATTCTATGACATAAAATACATCAGTAGCTATTCTACGGTCTAAAGCTGTGAATTTAACTTGTGAAAAATTGTCGTATAAAACATGTGAATAAAGCAGTGATTCCAGTACAAAAACCTCACTTTCGGCGCTCAAGTTAAAAGAAGTTCAACTTTTGAAAACCATCCCTCTATAAAAATAGACATATGCCTTTGTTCATATGGACATCTGCAATCTTTTTCAGGAATAGAGTGCTATTACTTTACTGAGGAAAGGTCAGGGGGAAATCTGTAGATGGAAAATCTCCATATAAGAGCCTTATGCGCAATTGCTTATATTATGATTATTTATTCAGTGGCATAAAATGGTCTTAAAATGACAATAATATTGCTTATCTGAATAATTTCTGGGGCAGTATATCACTTAACAAAAAGTAGTTATCATAACAGGCTTAGTTGTAGGTCTGTGTTTTACAGACCTACAACTAACCCTAACCTAACCCTTTAAACGTCCATTTCTTGAGTCATTTTCAAATCTGAGGTGAACAACCAGAGGTTAAACAGGGACACTTGAATGGCAGTGTATATTCCTCAAAATAAACACACACACCACATGTCAGTGGGCTTCTTATATCCCAACAGCTGCACTGAATACCTATAATACCATAGTATTTTCAAGGCTATTTAACCCCTTAACTGTCACCCTTTTTGAGCATAGACGTGAACATGCGCTATCTAAACTTAAATTATTGTAATTCATGAATGCTTTGGAAAACAGACCAAGTTTGGACTCTTTTTAAAGAAGACACTCTGCAGATTATTGCTGAAGTGAACGCACTTCAAGAAATGAGAGTTAAAAAACTTATAGAAGTCCAAATGTACTGTACTAAACATTATTATTCAAAATATATATTTTTCTAAATAATTTTACTCTGAAACTGCTATAAAATCAAAATCATATGTCTAACCAAGTTGTGTTCCAAATTTGAAGTTGATATCACAAAAATTGAAGTTCCCATGAGATTTTGTGTAGGCGTATTACCAAAAATGGCCACCGGGCGAAACCCATATTCCATTGAATTTTGATGAGTTGTCCTGTAACAAATTAATATTTCACTTCAATCATAATATAGTCACCAAATATGACACCTTGAGTCTCAGACCTTTCCAATGATATGCGTTTTGTTAAAATTAGAAGAAAAAAAATCAAAATAGTTCAAATAAATTTTGTAATATGCAACATGACACCGCCCACTAGGGGGAGGAGCCTGCTAAAAAAGATTTAAAATATGGTTTCAATGGTAAGGCAAAGTCCAATTTCATAACTGTTTTGACAGAATAAATTGAGATTTTACAATTTTACCTAATTTATGATGATTACTAAAATATGTGATAGGAAAAAAGGGCAATAAAAAAGCACGCCAAGTGCAGTTAAGGGGTTTATATCTTTCTTAAATAGATCAGGCTTTAAAATAATGCTGTGCTTTACATGTCATTAAAGCTAAATATAAAAAAAAACAATAAAAATGACAAAAGCACATAACAAATTTACTAAAATAAAAATGAATAAATACTATAAATTAAACTAAAATAACACACTACACGCTTTTTACCCTCAAACTGTATATGTTTACACAACACTTATCCTTTTGTTTATTAGACCTGTTTTTTTGTGTGTGTGTTTTTTACTGACTGGCCAATAAATATCTGATTCGTGTGATTGTACAGTTGCAATCCAATGGCAATATCAAGACTCTCGACCTGAAATGTGCACATAACCATCATTATACTAGCAGACAACAAATGCATTGAGCTAAACCATTGTTACGCAGTCTGTGAGTGAGGTAATAAAGCCAACTGAGTAAAACCCTCTATTAAACAGAATTAAATCTGGGGAAAATAGAACTAAAACCCCATAATCCAGAGCTTAAACATCATAAGTGCCCTTGCAAAACTGTTCAGTAGCCTACATAAAAAACGCCAATGTCCAGAAGTTCAACTTTATGCTGTTCCTCTATATGTACAGGGCACTAAAAACACCAGAACAATCACAACATTGTGACACGCGGTTCAGTCTGCCGTTTCACAGTGGCAGTAGACGGCTATTTTCTGAGCTTGTTCTGTACTTGTGAATTATTCATTGCACAGTATCAGCGCAGGAGGGGGTCTCAGTGTCTGTCATTTCTTCACTCTCTCCTTATGGTTTGCATTGCACAATAAAACTAGACAAAAAAGGTTGTCAAGAGAAAGCCTGACCTTTTTAAAAGCTTCAGTTTAAAGTAGTTTTAAAGTCCCCGTGTAGTCAATAATTTAATCCCTTAAAATGTATCTTTAATCATCAAAATTACATATTTAAAAAAAATTTCCTTGAACGTCTTAAAATAGCATGTAACTCGACACCTTTGCCTCATTTAGTATGTGTGGTTCTATGAATATGCAAATGAGCCCCACCTCCAAACTGCACCAATAACAGTTTATTCCGTTTACAGAAAGTGAACAAATGCACAATTTAACTAGTGGTGTAGAAATGCAATACACTTCGGTTTAAAAGTTTGTGGTCAGTAAGATTTGAAAAACAATATTTTATTCGGCAAGTATGCATTAAACTAATCAAAAGTGACAGTAAAAACTTGTTACTAAAGATTATATTTCAAATAAATGCTGTACTTTTGAACTTTCTGCTCATCAAAGAATCCTGAAAAGATTTCCACAAAAATATGAACTGTTTTCAACATTGATAATAATCAGAAAAGTTTCTCGAGCATCAGATCATCATATTAGAGTGATTTCTGAAGGATCATGTGACACTGGAGACTGGAGTAATGATGCTGAAATTCAGCTTTGAAATAACATTTTATCATATATTCGCATAGAAAACAAAATTGTAATAATATTTTAGAAATATTACTCTTTTTACTGTATTTTGATCAAATAAACAGCCTTGATGAACATAAAACTTTCTGTGAAATCTTACCAACCTCAAAATGTTGAACCAATATAATATTCAAAATAGCTGAATATGATAAGCTTGGTTAATTGAACAAATCCCATGTTTATCCTGGAACTACGCATAAGTCTGCATATACTGGCTTTTCAATAACTGCTCTATTTTAATTTATTTTCCATATGACAGCAGTCGAACTGAAGGAGAAAACGCAAAACATCCTTGCATAGAGTAAAAAATTATATACATTAATGCATTTATGGCTTTAGCAAATGCTTTTATCCAACACGATTTAGGAACAAAAGCAATCTGTCAAAGAGCCAACAATTTTCCAAATATATATTAACAGGCTTATTAGCCAATTAGATTAAGAATATATAAGCCACCATATCGGTATCGGCCGATATATGATCATTTTTAATGGTATCGTTATTGGCCTGATCAGAAAATGATATAGAAATAAATATAGTAATATATATAGTAGTAATATAGCTGAGACACTTTAGTTCACCAAGATGGTTTTGAATTGCTTAAAATATGATTGAAATTTGAAATCATAAAAAAAAGTAAAAAAAAAAAGTAAAACAGTTCAGTGCAACATGTGCAGCGCAAGTCTGTCATATCGGCTACATAACATTATAATTGTGTGCTTGGGTGGGATATGGCTTTTTTGTAATCAGACTCTCAAAAATTATATAAAAAGTTGGATTTAGATTTATCAGCCAATATATTGGTTATCGGCTTTCAAACAAAGAATTATCGGTTGTCGTATCGGCCAAAATGTTCATATCGGTGCATCCCAAATTAAGAAGCAAGCAAGAGAAGAGGAAACAACACAAGCAATGCTATAATCAGGGACCTTTACATGTCCAACACGTTGTCAATATAGACTCCTCCCAGATCGTTGAGATCAGAGAATCAGCATCTTCTGTGTGTCAGCAGGACACAATATAAACATCAGAGCGGTAGAGCTTTCTCGTGAACGATCTCCCCGTCTCCATTAGATCAGCCAAATCTAGAACTACTTTCAAATTTAGGCTAAAATCACATCTGTTAAACGCTGTGTGTGAACACTCATGAAGGGGTTTCGAGTGCGAACTCTATGTTTGGACAGAATATGAGACAGAGTTCTTTATTAAACTCATAAAAGACAAAAGAATTACAGGAATACTGGATTCTAATCCTCAAAGAAACACCACAATCACGAGCTGGAAGCAGAAATGAGGAGAAACACAGAAACTCCTCATATGAGCCGTTCACAGTATACAGGTCTTTCCTTGTCATTAATGCTGGATAACACACACACACACACGTCTCCTTCCATTAATAATAATGGCCAGTGCAGCGGCTGGGATATAGTAAACCTAACAACATCCGTCGCCATGATGTTTGGAATGACTGATCCCGAGAGAAAAAAAGTTTGTCGCATAACATCGGTTAATGGAAACGCCGTAATTTCGCAATAGCTTTTTGTCGATATTTAGGGAAAAAAAAAAAAAAAGTGAAAAAGTGTTGCGCAAATCTGTAATGGAAACGCACCTACTGATGCAAAGTTCATCAAATAAAGCAGCTAGTGTCATTATTCAGCTCAGTGTTGATTCAGTTCAATAACTGTGTAAGATCATTAACTATAAAACGAGGTCTATAATCAGCTTTAAGCAGTCGTTTTAACATCCATTGCCATGATTTTTAGAATGACTAGGAAACGCGCCTAATAATGGGGGAAAGCATGATTTTCAAATCTACACAAGAAAGTAGAGAAAACAATGCTATAAAACAAAGTTCTCACCGAATCATCCATGTTGTCTTCTGAACATCTGGATGTTGAGCCCTTCTGCGATCCCTCATGGGATGAACACGGCTCAGGTAAATCCTCCGGCAGAAGCTCTGGAGATGAGCTGAGTGGAGGAGTGTCACTGTCCGCCCTCTGTCTCTTCTTCATCCGCTGAGGAGATCCGCTTCGGGATGGAGAGCGGGAACGGAAGAGAGCGCAACTCTTGGACCTCGGCCGGGATGGCTTGTGTTGGTCGTGGTCCTCGTGTGAGGGTCTGCTGTGGGCTTCCAGCAGGTGACAGAGGAACACGCTCTTCTCTAGATCCACTTCCTGTTGAAGGCGCTGAAGTAAATGAACGTGCTTCCCGTCGGCCTGCGCGAGCAGCGTCTTCAGCAGCTCCTCGAGTCTGAGATACGCCACACCGTTACCTTTAAAAGAGTTACCTTTTAAAAGCTTGAAGTTTAGTAGTATAAAAACGTGGGGTGGTTGCTAAGTTGTTGCTATGCGGTTGCAAGGGTATTCTGGGTGGTTGCTAAGTTGTTGCTATGTGGTTGCTAGAGTATATTTGGGTGGTTGCTAGGGTACTCTGGCTGGTTGCTAAGGTGTTGCTATGCAGTTGATAGGTTATCCTGGCTGGTTGCTAGGTTACTCTGAATGGTTGCTAGGGTGTTACTATATGGTTGCTAGGGTACACAGGTGGTTGTCAGAGTGGTTGCTATCCAGTTTCTATGGTATTTTAGATGGTTGATATGGTGTTGCTATACGGTTGCTAGGGTACTTGGCCTGGTTGCTAGGGTGTTGCTATGCAGTTGCTAGGTTAGCTGGTTTCTAGGGTGTTACTATATGGTTGCTAGGGTACACCGGTGGTTTTCAGAGTGGTTGCTAGGGTATTTTAGATGGTTGCTATGGTGTTGCTATGAGGTTGCTTGGGTACTCTGGCTGGTTGCTAGGGTGTTGCTATGCAGTTGCTAGTTTATCCTGGCTGGTTGCTAGGGTGTTGCTATATGGTTGCTAGGGTACACCGGTGGTTGCCAGGGTGGTTGCTATGCGGTTGCTAGGGTATTCTGGGTGGTTGCTAGGGTACTCAGGTTGGTTGCTAGGGTGTTACCTTGTCACCATTACCTTTACATGCAGGTTTGAGGGCTTGTACCCCGGTGGTTCTGCCGATTCCAGCGATCTCATCAGCTAGTTGACGCTTAACTTCTCGTGTTTGTCTGAGAGTCAAGTTCTCCGTACGTTTCTCGTCCCGACTCCGCCAGCGCAACAGACGGCGAACCTCCGCCACACGCTCTCGTCCCAGAGTTTCCCGCTGTCGTAGCAGCTCCAGCGTCTTCTGCTGCTCGAGTCGATACGTCAGATCCCTCAGCGCCCGCTCGCGCTCCTCACGGGCCTCGTCCCGATGCCGACGCAGCTCCAGAGAGAAGCACCGGTGAGCCTGATGGTTTCGACTGCGCTCCACTTCTAACAAGACTCGGAGACGCTCCACATCCCGTCTCGGATCAGGGCCGGAGTCACGCTTGGACCTAATGCAGGACGGGCCTTTCTTGGAGGAGAGAATCGGAGGGTTACGGTCATCATCATCACAGGTTTCGTCCATGATGCCGGTAATGGAGGCCACACTAAAGTCAGCTCAGGCCCGACAGAAAGCATGCAGATGCAGGATGAGAATGATGATGTTACACAGATGACAGCATGCATCGCACACACAAGCCAACATGCCTACTGAGAAGAGCAGAGATGAAAGATGATTATCAGCATGCCACCAGAAAGATTCAGAACTTATGCACCTATTGTGCTCTTTTAAAGGCTCCTAATTTACAATAGGTTTACATGCATCTAATGTAAAATAAATTAAAAAAAAATTAAAATTTAATTTTCTTATAATATGCATTCAGCATCAGCTCTTTTCTCAGTGTCTGAAACGCAGTGTTGGGCAAGTTACTTTTAAAAAGTAATTAGTTACAGTTACTAGTTACTTCTTCCAAAAAGTAACTAAATTAGTTACTCAGTTACAAATTTTAAAAGTAACTAGTTACTTAAGAAAGTAACTATTGCGTTACTTTCAAGTAAAATTAAATTTTAAATGCTCAAATGTGACCCCACCTCTACCCCTATTTAACGGAACTTAAAACACATGTGCATGTTCAATTATTTATGATAAATCTGAATTTTATAATGAAATGGACACTTAATACAATACATTATTAACAGAAACATGAAACATTGTACACACATCTAAAAAAAAATGTTGCCGGTGGACAAAGTGAGACTAGCCTCCAATCAAATGCCATGTATGTAGATATTATGTTTATATAGTGGATCAATGCAAATAACACAATGGATGTTTTGGAACTTTTGATATTTATTGCCCCTCAACAGGCCACAACTGGGCAAAATTAAATTAAGCTTGTTAAAGGCACACTGTGGAATTTTTGGCCACTAGGGTGCGCTCGACCTGTAATTTTCACGTCTAGTGCCCCTAGAGGCCACAAGCGCCGCAGCATTGTCGCAAAAGTCAACAAACAGTCAACCTCCCGTGTCTTTATGTGTGTGCAGACGGCATTTGATTTGTATGTTGGAGAAAGTTAATCGATTCACTACTGACCAAAATAATAATATAAATATAAGATTAATAATATAAATCCTATAAAGAAAACAAATTGAATAAAAGTAGCATACGCAGAAAACAATGTCTGATCAGGTAAGTCGCATTGACAAGGGTTGCCCAATCCTGCTCCTGCCGATCGTCTGTCCTGCACAGTTCATCTCCAACCCTAATCAAACACACCTGAAGCAAACAATTAACGTCTTCAGGATCTCTTTGCAATGGGTTGGAGATGAAATCGAGTAGTCGGGAAATCGTGTAACAAAACTGATATAACTCACTACATATTTCCGTTATTTGTAGTCTTCAGTTTGTTTTTCCTTTTACACAAATACAAACATATATGAGCTGAAAGGAAAAAAAACCCATTTACATTTGTATACGGCAGTATGTTGTGACTTATATCAGTTTTGTTACACGAATTCGCAGTAAATATTACATTATATATAGGCTACACTTTTATGCCGATGTTTATTTTAAACTCTCCCTTTTTCTTTTTTTGGTCTCCTCTGACAAAATCTTTGTTTTCTTCGCTTTCTTCCGAGTAGCTGTTGATTCAGCCATGAAGACAACATACAGACGCCGGCAATCAAACGCGAGTTGAGCTCTCACGCTAGAGGAAGTTGGGGTGGTGGGGGAAGTGACGTATGCCGTAAAGCGGTCGAATTTTGTAGTTCTTTTTGTGCTCGGGTTCCTACCCGAAACCCGAAGTTACATAGTACTAGTAAAAAGCGATACAGACACCTTCAGGCTTCGGCAGACGTGTCATTCAACCTATTGTAAGTCGATGTACCATCTCAATGGGTTTTGGTAATATATTATAAAGGTTGAAAAGTTCCACAGTGTGCCTTTAAGCTGTGGAGTTATATGTTCTCATTAACTATATTATTTTATGTTTCTTACTGTTATTTTGTTTTTACTTTATGCTATTGACGGTTGTATACTAAAAATGTGCAAGAGTTCATTGTGCGCATGTGTGAACAAATGGGGACTTTTATTTTGACTCAGCAGCTTGTGTTCCTTCCTTGAGATGAATGTCGTGCTGCTGCTCCCTCGTGCACTGTCACTGATGTTATGCCAGCGCATTGAGATGAAAACTAACAAATAAATAACACTGAGAAATTGTATCTGGATTGTTCTTTAGTGGATGGATGATCGCAACATATTGTGCATGGACATGACGGACGGAAATGAAAACTTAACATAATATACCATTTAGAGAAGGCTACTTTTGGATTATTTGGGCTCGTCGGCATACCTGTCTCTCGTTGACTGACTGGCTTGTGTTGTTCGTTGTGTGTCCTGTCCTGTCCATAACTATGCGTTATGATGGGTCGTTCGCAATTCATGAGCGTTAGCTGTTAGTGATGATGGATCGACTCGTTCGCGATTCGCGCATGAGCCGACTCTTTTAGGTGAACGTCGGTAGCTGGCTCGCATATCTGAAGAGCCGACTCTTACAAATTTAGCCTATAGAAATTAAATAATTATGTAATAAAAATTGAAATATTATAGTCAAAGTCATTTAAAGAGCCGTTTGTGAGCCAAAAGAGCCGGCTCTTTTCAGTGAGCTGAGTCAAAAGAGCCGAATGCCCATCACTACTATGCGTGCTTTAGAACACCCGCCCAACTCTACCTCTGATTGGCTTACAATGACATTTTACTCTACCTCAGCCAATCGTCAGCATGTATGCGCTTGTCTCGTGCTCTGCCCACTAACCAAGGAAGAACAGTAAAAAAAGTATTTGCCTCTCACTCAGAGATCTAGTTGGTCTGATGAAAAAAAAACAGCTTCATCAGTTATAGTAACGCGCCGCATTTTTTGGCAGTAACGGTAACGGCGTTATTAAGATGAGAAGAGTAATCAATTAGATTACTCGTTACTGGAAAAATATAACGCCGTTATTCCCATCACTGCTGAAACGGTTTGATAAAGGATTCAGTGTCTCTAAACTTGCTCTGCTCTGATTGGTCAGAAAGCTAAGTCTGTTGTGATTGGTCGACCGCTTATGGTGTGTTCACACCGAACGCGAATTTAATTATTTGCGCGAGTAGATTACATACAAAGTCAATGCAAAGACGCGAAGACACATCATTTGCGCCGGGCGTTGCGAATGACGCGAATTGGGCGACGCGTTTGCCGCGAATGTCTTCCGCGCAAGTTGAAAAATTTTAACTCGAGTGAATGTTCAAGCGTCTAACTAGACGCGATAGACGCGTATTTGATGCTCTATTCGCGTTCGGTGTGAACACACCATTACAGCGCGTGTCAGAAACCAAACGGCCATTACGGCATCTGAATTTAAAGGGGCACTTGGCAACTATTTCAACTTAATAAAACCGTTTAGAAATCATTTGAATGGTTCAATAACCTAGCGGAAGGCGGTTGCTAGCTATAAGGCGGAAAACCAACCTTGCAACATGGGGACTAACGTCCCGGTAAGTTGGAAATAGCAAGTCGCGTGAGAAGTGAGAACGAGCGAGAAACACGAACTGCTTTATGGCAATTCGACATAATTCTATGATACTGTGTATGATGTATTCCCCACCTCGGTAGACATAGCTCCACACGATAAAGTTGGCCGGCTCCGATAATAACTAAAGCACATGATGATGAGCAGCGGTAGAAAGCGGGAGGAAGTGAGTTATTTTACGGCAGTGTTGTGAAATATATACGCCGCACAGCTGTAGGGGGAGCTCGATGAGAAAACATGCGACAACAAAAGTGAAAATCAGCGAAGAAATGGCTAGAGTTGCCAAGTGCCCCTTTAATAGGGCTGGGACAATAAATCAATGCATCGTGAATCGAGAAATGATTCTGGATCGATTCCAATTTTTTCCGAATGCATCGCGATTCTCTCTCGAATCGGTTCTGAGCTTAGTTTTTAACAGCAGATGGCGCTGTGTGCAGTAATCTGCTGCCTTCCAATGCCTTACACACACCACTTGAACCTTCTATAAAATAATCATTCATATAGTTCGAAAAGGTTGAAGTGAATTACAAGGGTGTTTGCTGTGGGCTGTTTACATTAAACTCGCGTGCGTCATAATAGCATTCTGAGGTGCGAGTGCATTCTCTGAATCAGCCGAACGCACGAGCGCGCTTCTTCATGAGCATTTGAGCGTACGGTTAAAAACTAGCCTACAGCGCCATCTGCTGGTAAAAACTAAGCTCAGAATCGATTCGCGATGCATTCGGAAAAAATTGGAATCGATCCCCGAATCGCGATGCATCGATATATTGTCCCAGCCGTAGAATTGAAGCTGTTCCTCAGCTCGAGACACTGATACGTAGAGTAACGATGGCGTGGGTTTTAATCTCATCAAAGGAGATTTGCTTTGGTCTTCTCGACATGAACAACACGAACCAAACTCTTCCAGTCTCAGATACAACTACAGTGTTTGAGGGCGGGGCAAAGAAACGCTCTTCAGCCAATGAGAGCACAGACTGGCATTATGCAAATTTGTAACAAAGGTTCACAGGTTTGCGCAGAAAGTGAGACAGGAATTACTGACGACTCATTTCAGAAGTTCAGAATCGTTTCTTTCTTTTCGGAGACAAAAACTCTATTTATTGTTTGATCTTTGAAACTTTGCAGAGCTTTTACATTCACAAACAGCTGTATTGCACTTCATGAAAGAGAATAACCAAAAAAGCATAACAGCGGCACTTTAAGAAAGAAAACTTATGATCACATGCACAAACATCACAAACAAACACATCCACAATGTAATCAGTCACTGATTAGCTCAGTGGTCGATTTACTATATATCTATATATACACACACAGGTAAAACTTGACAAATGTGAATATTGTGCAACAGTTCATGTAATTCAGTCATTCAAATTAAAAGGTGAAACTAATATATTTAACTATATACATATGCATGATTATACTTTTCAGAGGGCCGACATTTCTGTATTTAAAATCCTTTTTTTATTGATTTCATGAAATATTTTAATTTTCTGAGATTTTGAATTTAGGGTTTTCATAAGCTGTAAGGTTTTCATAAACTGTAAGCCATAATCATCAAAATTATAACTTTTGCACGATATTCTAATTTTTCGAGTTTCACCTGTATGTATGTATATATATATATATATAACCCTGAGTCGACAGAAATTGTTTATATCGGCATTGTGAACCGGCAGAACCTGATGTAAACCAGGTTGGATTTGTTTTGTTTTTTTCAACTCTAATCTCAAGAGTTTGTTTAACTAGCTTCATGTAACAGGCCACAGTAAATACTGCACTAGTTCAAACAAACTAAACAAGGCTAAAATTAACAATAAAAACTCTGACAGTTAAATGTTTGGACACACCCATTCTATTACAATTAATTTCCAAATTTTATCATTCTAATAGTAAGCTCTATAAAATAATACAAATGGGAATGATGTGGTCATGTGATGCATGACAATTTACACACATTTTATTTGTGCACATGTATTATTTGAAGCATAATTTATGTGTCTACAAACATTTAAGTATAAACCTTTAGATTAAATGGCATTTAAAATGATGAGAAACAATTCAGTCAAATGTCTCAAAATGTCATGGTGTGTGTATAAATGACTGTAAAAAAAATATGTAAATATATTTGTTGTCATTAGGCATATTCGAAGATTGCTGGCAACTTATTTTCTTTTACACACAGAATAGTTCTTCACGAATCAGTTTAACTGTGACATGCATGCTGGATCTCACCTATGTGACACAAAAAAACATGTTTGTCACTCAGAAACATGCAGAGGAAACTGTTAACACGTGAAAGGATGTTTAAGACACAAACAAGGACACACAGATACAATGAAGCACAAATAATCATAGCCACAATGATACAAACACACAGAACGTGATGAAACACAAACACACATGTATCAGTGTAATATTCTTGTAACAATGTAAAAGTCTCGCGAGCGGTTTCTCTCCTCAGACGCGTGTCATTATCCACAGAGACTTTAATGAACGCGGGATATGAACACACTGACCTTTCTCCGCATGAAAACTTCAAGATGGGCTCCATATATTCCTCTAGTTCCACTGGAAACCCGTGAAAGACGTGTTTAGACGGGCGTTAATCCTCGCGTACCCGCGTCAGCGCGATGTTTGTCGTGGTGCGTCGCGTCTTAAGCACCAGTTGCTTCAGTCAGTGTCCGGCTGATGATCTGGACATCACGGATTCTCTGAGGACACAGCGACCGCTGCTGGACACTCGACGACACTACAACCCTCACATTCTGCTCAATCACTTCAATGAGATCATTGTTTCTGCCTAAATTATTACATTGTTTGATATATTTTTAGCTAACTATGATTTTCTATATGTAATTGTTTTAAATGCATAATTTAGACAGTTACCTCTGATAACAGATCACTCTAAATTGTAAAGTGAAATTTTGTGAAACAATGTGTGTTTTGTGAAAAGCGCTTTGCAAATAAATGTGAATTGAATTCATTATTATTTACATGCGTGATTATTTATTCTTATTAGGGATACTTTTTTGTAATCCCTTTATTATAATAACTTTACACTTGTGTAAAGTGTTGTTAAGTGTAACTTTCCTTATTTTTAAGTGTGTTAAAGGGTGATATTTGCCAGAATTTCTATATGTTTGGGCTTGTCCCCCATTTACCGTATATTAGGTAACAACTTATAATAAGGTTTCATTAGTTAACATTAATTAACTACTTTAATTTACATGGACTAAGAATTAACAATACTTCTACCGCATTTAATAATCTTAGTTAATTTCAACATTTATTAATACATTATTAAAATCAAAAGGTGTATTTGTTAACATTAGTTAATGCACTGTGAACTAACATGAACAAACAATGAACAGCTGTATTTCTATTAACAAACATTAACAAAGATTAATAAGTAGCTACTGTAACAAATGTATTAGTAGTATTTTGATTTGAATCTTTTCCTAATATTTTTAATTATTTGGTAGGCTACTTATGTGCACAATTTGTACATTTTTAAACCAGAAATAGTTTTTCATCACATTGTTTACGTTTTTTCCAAACAAAATGTCATTCATTTGAGTTGAATGTTTCATTCAATAGAATAGAATAGAATAGAATAGAATAGAATAGAATAGAATAGAATAGAATAGAATAGAATGCCTTTATTATCATTGCATGTACAAGAAATTAGAAAGTGCTTCCCTTGGTGCCTAAAAAAACATATTCAACAAAAATATATTTACATTACATACGGCACACATATTAAACATAGTACGTTTAAGCAGTTGATGTAAATGTTGCACTAACGAAGAAAGACATCTCACTAAAACGGTTCATTGATTAATTATAGAAGTGTTTTCACTCTGCAATTTATGGTTTAAAAAATAGATGAAGTGAATATACTGCTAAATAACCTCTTGTTGTAAGCCGTTTTTGCATTGTTCGGATTTACTCTTTATTTTACCTGTCTTGCCCCATGCCTGGGTTGACTCTTATGTTTGTCAGTGATGGAAGAAATGAAGTGTTATGAATTGCTTCCCAAAATGATTCACTGATTCACCTTTGAAATGCCACACACTGGTGACACCTGCTGGTCAGAACCGTGTAAATGCAGCGAAAATCAGTTCAAACATGCATTTAAAACACCTTTAACAAACCAAACCAACTGGAAATGTTTTTTTGGAGGTACCAAAAGTATCTAATACCATTAAATATCAAGTGTTTTTATAATGTGTGTAATTTTATAAAATTGGACCTACATGTAAAGATGACCGTATAGTGGTTTTAAGGTGGACCTGAGTAGTGCAAGTCCACCTTAAATATTTTGAATGCTACCAATCCACAATCTGATTTCTGACCTGTAATGCTTCCTGATTCATAATCACAGTGTTCTCCTGAGCTGACTGAGCCTGGTTTCTCCAAAGTTTTGTTTTCCTCCCTTCTGTCACCTGATGGAGTTTGGTTTCCTCGATCGCAGCCTGATGGAGTTTGGCCTCTGATATTCAGCAATATTACTGATCTGACTGCACTGAACTGGGCGATGACATCACTTTTTTCTACAGAACTGCTTTATAGTTGAACTGAATCAACACTGAACTGATTTCACCTGAATAATGACTGTTTACCATTGTCTGTTTAGAGCTGCTTTTCAGTATAATTTAATTAATTAAAATAAATTGTTGCCATGGAAAATAAGAGTATATACAAGCAAATAAAAACTTACAAATTAGTAAACTTTGTTGGCTTTATGCACAGCTTCACTACTTCCTGAACTTTAGCCAGCTCCTTTGTTTCCTGTCTGCCATTATTGGACAAACTGATTAATCCAGGTGTGCCTGGCCTCAGTAACAATAATCAGGCACACCTGGATTAATCAGTTTGTCCAATAATGGCAGAAAGGAAACAAAGGAGCTGGCTAAAGTTCAGGAAGTAGTGAAGCTGTGCATAAAGCCCATTACAACGAGAAATGTGTAGCTGGCAGCCATTATCCTGCTTACGGGAAGTAAACAGAAAGAAAGAAGGGGAAAGGAATAGAAAATAGAACAAAACAATTACGCCATTAGATGTAACAATATATTTGTAGCATTTTAAAGCTGCAGTTCATATTGAAGTTTAACAAAACATTTACACAAATAACACATGAGCTCTTCAAACTGTCAGCAAAACACTGTACAATCTCACATATCCTAATGCATATATTTGTGTATATTTGTTTTCACAGTGCTTGTATTTTTGTGTGGTTTTGATACTTCACTCTCAATAATAAAGCCCAGAAGCGACAACATGATCTTTGATAAACTAGAGCAGCTTCGATGATCTGTATTAATTCAGAGAAGTTCACATTCACCGAGTCCAACAAAACCTTCAGGCTGTGATCTCCCACATAAGACACTTGAGTCCGTCCTTTTCTAATTCGCTTTTGTTTTCATGAACTGCAGAGTAAGTAACCGCCCGTCTGACATAACAGTGTTCTTTCCGGAAACACAAGCATCAGGTCATCTATGCATCTGGTAAATAATAGTATCAAATGTGTATTTGATATGCAGTGAAAAATAAATGTATGATATCACATTTAAGCTTAACAGGAAAAAATAGGAGATTGGCCAACTATTTAAAAAAATATTATGTGAAACAGTATCATTACATTACAGTAGTATGCTACATTGTTGTCACATTATGTTATGTGTGTGTATATATATATATATATATATATTATGTTGCATGTTTAATTCAACGTCCAGATATCATATAAAAAAAGAAAAAAGTTTGCATTTCTAATAAAAGAAAATCTGATTATATTCTGCACATTTTTCCAAAATGTAGTAGATCCTCCAAAAATGGCCATACCATAGATTCTGGTTCTTAAAGGAACACTCCGACTTTTTGGGACTTTAGCCTATTCACCTTATCCCCCAGAGTTAGATAAGTCCATACATACCTTTTTCATCTCCGTGCGTGCTATAAGTCTGTTTGACGCACCCACCGCTAGCCTAGCTTAGCACAAAGACTGGATGTAAATGGTTGCAGCTAGCATACTAATCCAAATAAGTGACAAAATAACGCAAACATTTTCCTATTTACATGTTGTGATTTGTATAGTCACAGAGTGTACAAAAAACAAAGTCACCTGAGACACAGACATATTTTAACCGTATAAATACTGGGAACTATATTCTCTGAAGGCGAAGCACTGCTACTTGGGCGGAGTGATAACCGCAGCACCTGAGACGGCTCTCTGCTCCTCACCACGGCGCGTCTCAGGTGCTCATTTTTAAGGCTCTGAATGGTTTATTCCCAGAGATATGGCAATTTTGCTGTGGCTCCATGAGTAAATTGTACACATTTTTAGTGGTCTTAAACCAAATGGTGAATTGGCATTCAACTGATACTTATTGTATTGAAACATGTCTGATCAATGTGGGAATATGCATGTTTTGGCCACCAATGTTATACAGTACACACTGTTCTGCTTGTTTTTACAATGACAAAGTTACATTGAAGTTAAATTTTTAGTCTGTATCAGCGATAGAAACCGCACTTCTCAGCCAATGTCAAAAAGTTTGCTAATAAAAAAAAAGGCAAGTATCAGTTTACAAAACCTGGGCATTATTGACATAGGCATCACCGTTTAGTTTTTAATGGTGAAAGATTTAAGGTACTTGATACAGAGTACTGACACCTGTATATTCAATGCATTTGGGTAGTGAAATCAAAAAGTATATGAATCAATTTAGTCAGCTTAATTAATTTAGCAAAGATACTTCCATCAGTTAACTAATTATGCCTGTTAAAACGTATTGTAGCTTCACTAATATATTCGATCTATCATTTCATATTAATGAATATTTAGAGCTGCTCCAGCAGGGCTCGCCGAATTTTTTACTGGCACGGTTGGGCTTGTGGTTAATGTTTAGATACATAATTTTCAAGTACAGAAATCAAATATAAAATAACACTGAGAAGGATAAATCTATATTTAATTTTTACAGTGAAGACTATTTTTACAGGTCATTCAATCAAGAGCAGTGGATGATTGTCTTTTGTTAGATTAACATTAAAGGACAAAAATCAGCAGAAGATTTATTGGCTGCTGTCACTTTAAGAGCTGCATGTATCCAACATGCTGTTAAATCTATTTTTAGACATTTAAAAAAACAAAGGCTATATATTCAGCATTGTCCATTTATTGTTTTCTGGTTTGTTGTAGTAAAACGGGCTGCACTGGATATTAGTCTACTGAAGACCTATATTTATGCATGCATAAATTGCTTATTACCATGGTTGGAAAAGTCAAGTCAAGTCATCTTCATTTATATAGCGCTTTTAACAATGGATTGTTTCAAAGCAGCTTTACAGAGATAAACAATTTAAGGTAACAGATTGTTTTGGCTTTATAGCGGTTCTTGAATAATGTTATTTCCAGCTAAAGTTAATTTTGATTGATTCACTTCCGTCGAAATGATCAGACTTTAAACGCGAACCTGTGATTAACGCTGACGGCGTTCACATGCACATTCAGAATTGATTCTATAGTTATGTGCTTTTGAAAATATGTGCGCAGGTTTGTAATTCCATACAACCCATGCCTAAACAAACTACTTGTCTTGCCTATAAATTGATACAGAATTATGTTTTATTTTATCACTTCGGGGTACGCGAACCGAAATTCACAACACTATCTGTAGAGTGGGAAAGGGATCCTCCATAGGGAGAGGATAGTGGACACTTCAATTCAATTTTTATTTATATAGCGCCATTACAACACCCAAAAAGGTGCACAAAGCGCTTTCCATAAAACACATAAAAAGACAACAGTATATAAAAATTGAAAGTAACTAACACAACGACTAAAAAAAAAAAAAAAAAAAAAAAAAAAAAAAAAGATTACGTGTTGAAAGCCTTCCTGAAAAGAAACGTTTTCAACTGTGATTTAAAAACACTAAACACAGTAATGTTACGAAGGGTAGTAGGTAAGGCATTCCACAAAGTAGGACCCTGGATGGCAAAAGATCGGCCTCCAAACTTTTTGCATCTAAACTTGGGGATAATCAAAGAGGTGTTCTGAGAGGAGCGGAGGGTTCTGGCAGAATGGTATACAGTGACCAGCTCAGAGAGGTAAGCTGGGGCCAGACCATTAATGGCCTTAAAAACAAACATCAGAACCTTATACTCCACCCTAAAACGTACCGGGAGCCAATGAAGTGAACAGAGGACGGGGGTGATATGAGTATGTTTATGGGTATTTGTAAGGAGACGGGCTGCTGCGTTTTGAACCATCTGAAGACGGTTGAGAAGTGATAGGTTAAGCCCAGTGTAGAGGGCATTACAATAATCCAGCTTTGAGCTGATAAATGCATGAATGGCTCTTTCTAGATCAGCACGGGACAGGAATGATTTCACCTTACTGAGGAGCCTAAGCTGGAAAAAGCTACTCTTAACGACTGCACCAATCTGTTTGTCAAAATGCAATCTATTGTCGAAAGCAACACCCAGGTTACGAACAGTGGATGCAAACTGGGGCGTGAGAGGGCCAAAACTAAGAGAGCTGCAAGGTGAGTCCTGCGTGAACAATATATACTCGGTCTTACCTTCATTCAAATGAAGAAAGTTTTGAGAGAGCCACCGTTTAGGTCTAAAGAGTCTAAAAGTGCCTTAAAATCATTAGCAGATTTATCAAAGGGGCAACAAACATGAATGTTGAAATCACCACAGATTAAAATAGTCAAATTTTGCCAAAAAGCCAGACAAAAACTTTCCATTTAGTTTTGGGGGCCGGTAGATTACTGCACAAAAAATTGGATTAGGTAGAGTGAGTACAAACGTCTGCAACTCAAAGCTGGAGTACCCTCTAGTGGACAGTTGACGGCACTTCAGGGACTGTCTGTATATAGTAGCTATCCCCCCGCCCCTACCCGTTTGCCGTGGAGTGTTCAGAAACAAATAGCCAAAGGGAAGGATTTCAGAAAATGCACTAACATCACCGGGAGATAACCAGGTCTCCGTGAGAAAGAACAAATCCAGACTGTTAGTGGTGATGACATCGTTTAGAACAAAAGTTTTGTTGCTGAGCGATCTGGTGTTACATAGTGCCATACAGAGTGAAGTCGAGTTGACAGGCAAAGAGGACACACGTGAAATTGGACGAAGATTGTCTAGGGTAGAACCCCGAGGATGACTGCCAAATGAACGGCGGTGACAGGAAAAAGGAGCGCCAGTGTTGTCAGCGCTAACGGGCCGAAGCCACCGATAGCATATCCGCGAACCGCCAGGTCCTAGTTCGACACCACTCCTCTGCAACGGAGAATTTAGGTGAGTCCTTTTTTTGACATGTAGCCCGCTTCTCCTACCCCGTCTCTTGCGGCGCTTACTGCCTGGAAGTAGATAGACAGGATAGCTCAGGAATGGAGAAGTAAAAGCAGACAGCGGCGGAGGTGTTTTTAAGGTTTGGGCGTTCAGGCAATGGTTTGTTGAAAACCGTAAATCCAGCAAAGTTGTGCGATCATAAACAATAATTGTAGAGACGGTGGCAAGATCCAGCATGAGAAAACACAGGAACAAACAAAGGTGCAGGTGGCAGGCCAAACATAGCGGCGCCATCTTTTACATTTCAGTACAAGAAATGTAAAAGTGTGTTACTAGGCTACTGTCTTGTGTCAGTAGTCTTGTGACAAAGCACTGCATTGTCATCGGGTCCAGGCGAATCTCCTCTGTCAGATCTGGATACGGCAGGCTGCGGGAAAATCTCAGGATAAACACACTAATATTAGCGTAGATGCCATTCTTCTTATGATGTAACGAGTACATCAAGATTTAAGGGAAGTGTTCCCAGTTCCGGCTGACCTAATCTATGCAGCCTAACATTGAATTATAGAAGTCTATAATGTATTGTGTATGCTAGGTCAAAGAGATGTGTTTTTAGTCTAGCTTTGAACTGACAGAGGTTTTACTCTACTTTTAGTAGAACTCCACACTGCAAGCAAAGCACATCAGTTTTAAATTAAAACCCATGAATTTCAACCTTCCTTTTACAGATTAGTCTACAAATAATTGCAATGGCAGTTGAGCTCAAAAAGATGCAAGAGATTTAGTTGCGGTCTAGAGTCCAACTCTCAACAACTCCAAAAAGTGAAAACGCAACACAAGTTAATAACAGCCACTACCTGAGTCAACTACATTTCAGTCATGTAGGGATTAGAAGTCACTGGACAAATATAAACTTATGAACATTGCAACTTCTCACTTCAAACCACCGTAAGATGAGAAACAAGACAACAAAAGGACTAATTGTATAAAAGCAGTTTTAATTTAAGTTGTGTGGCCTGTAACCATTCAGTGCTGGGTGCATGAACAGGGGGACGTGTAGGTTGTCTCAAACGAATTACCTGAAAGAGGGACAGAAAATGAGCTGCATCATGTTCAGTGAATTCAGCCAGAGCAAAGCTTGATTAGGATGAAAGCGTACTTGTCTGGTAGTAGTCATAAACGTTGATGACTGCTGGCTTGAGATTTTTCACATCAAGAACCTGTTTCAGCTGTAGTGCGTAACTCATGGGGACACCTTTGGTAACCTGAGACACAAAAAGGATGAACAGCAGCACATACACTACTCAATATGGCAGCTAGTGAATAACCCCAGTGTAGTGTCTCACCTCTTTCAGATACACTAGGACATGATCATCTGCAGCATCAACACGCTCCACTAGCGGAGCGAATGATTGGGGTGGAGAACCAAGCTGAGATGAAAAGACCATTGATTACATCTGAAGGAGCCTCAAGCATCTTGGGACTTTCAAAGTAATCTTAAACATACGAACCAGTGATGTATCTGCCGTGAAGCCTGTCAGGAGCTTAATGTCCACAAGAACCATGTTAGTGCTTGCTTTTACGCCATTGTAGCTGAATGAGGGTGATTGGGGAATAAACAGGTTGTCAACATGATCAAGAATGCAGCTCTCTTTTGTAGGTCATGAACAAGAGCTAGTTTCAGAACACAAAGCTATTCTTACGTCACGGTGAAGTTCAACATGAGATTGGCCCCAAGTGGTTGGCAGTCTCCAGTCACCTTCGCTTTGACGCTCAGAGTCTTGGTGTCTTTAACCGGTGTCGGGATGTTGTAGAAACATGCAACCTACAGTACGAGCACAGAGCAATCAAAGCAAAGTAAGATGTGGATGTGCACAAGAGAAATAGAGGGGGTGGAGATACAGACCTGCACAAAAACACAAGAGGTTCCAGTTGCTTTAACACTATATTTGCCTGGAACTTTCTTCAGTGGCTTCTCCTGATACAGCAGCCGGTTGTCCCGATTCACGTCGAAGCTATAAGAGTCTTCTCCTACTACTGAGGACTGTACGGTTACAGTGCTGGAGCCATCCAAGCTGAAGACTTGACCAGCGTACACAGACAGGGCATGAAGAGCCACCACCGTGTCCTAAAAACAAGCAACAGATTAAAAAACGCCTCAAATGACTGTGCTCATGTTTGGTAGTCAGTCACCTGGGTGGAGGAAAACCCTCCATAGGGATTCTGCTGGGTCACCAGCCAGTTGACAATGCGGTTAGCATAGCTTAGATCAGCCGTCGTGAGAGGCTGAACAGCAAGAACTGCTAGCAGCACGTAAGAGCTGATCTCCACCGCCAGAGTATTACCAGATGTAGTTTGAGACCAGTGGACCTTAGATGCTTAGGATGAGATGGAGGGGAGAAAGTCAATGCCAAAGAACCTGATGAACATCTCAAAACAAGAGGCTAGTCAATTTCACCTTCGAAAATGTTTAGGTCTTTCAAAGTTGTTAGAAGCTGTGATCGAGTGGTGGTCTCTCCGGCCAGACTGAAAGTGTAGGCCAGCAGAGCCGTGGCGTAAGTGTTACCCAGGTTCCCAACGACAGGCCTCAGGCATGATAGAGCATTGGTAATGACAGGATCCTAAAAGAAAAGCAGATATCATTCAACAGCAGAACGATCATCTGCAAGGAGCTCATACACATTACTGGAGAGGTTTTTACTGTGATAGGGATGCCAATTTCAAGTAGCGATGCAACAATGTAAGCAGTCATGGTCACGTTATCACCAACTCCACCCTGAAACACACCAACATACAATTAAAAACAGTCTTGGACAGTCTATGGGTTAAGGTCCATTTGATATAAATGTACCTTCATTTCATTGTGGTACAAATTTCCCTGTTGCATGAAGCATCCATTTGAACCCTGTTGGCTTATTAGCCAGTCCTGTGCACTCTGAAGGACATTCGGATCGATGAAGACGAAGCGCTTTGCTAGACCAAAAGACCTCATGACAAAGGCAGTCAACCTAGCCATGCAGGAAGTTGTGTTAAAAACAACTGAACTTAAAAACCGCTGGTGACAAATGCTACACAAGACTAGAATAGCGGTAGTGAAACTCACCATGTATTGGATGCATCATAACCAAATGTGCTATATGATCCATCACTGTGCCTGTAGTTTAGTTGTCCTTGGTATCCTGTTAAAGTCAAAAACCACAGAAGGGCTTATTCGGAATTCTAGACGGCTTCAAATGGGAAGCAATAGGATTTAGACTCCTATATATTTAAAGCAGATTTGGTCATCCATACCTCTCTGAAGGTATCTGGTGGAGGTCGCTTGGATGGCTGCGGTAAGTTGCCCTGTGACTTCAAGGTACAGCAGGATGTAAATATTGGGAGCAAGAATAATCATATTCTGTTCTCCACAGCCAGATGGCATTTGTAATAACCCATCCAGATTTTTCAGTGCACGACCCATTATGTCCCCTATGAGAGATCAAGCATAAAACCCACATCAGACAAAAAGTTATACTGCCTAACAATCACATCTCAGTTTCTCCTCAACGAAATTCTTTACCGAGGACTGAAACGGAGCATCTGTCTGATCCCTGAACCACATTCTTTGGAAATATCAGAGTCGCATCTTCAGAAAGAGCTTTTCCTAGGGACCGAACAGAAAGAATCAGTATTGAGCATTAGGCTGTAGAGGGAGAATAGGTTGGGTATCAGAGTACAACAAACCTTTTGGACACAGTAACCAACTCTGGGCACTTGTCCTTTCAACTCCTTCTGGCTGTAAAAACAAAACACCACATCAGTAAAGCAGCATAAGGCTCCATGATTAAACTCCAGAAAGCTGGTCAACACTTACCAGGACAATTAGACTTCGAGTGACTACGTCAATGCGTCCTCTCGTCGGCACGGTCACGACCTCAGTGCCACATCGAGTCCTGGATGGTTCAGCTGAAGCGTTGACAGTCACATTGACAGCTCCTACAGTGACAGATAGGAAGTGAGCAACACCACATAGACTTCAAATTTAGAAGCAGACAGCCCAAAACTGACCGAGAACAGAAGCTGAGAGACTCCATTTGAAGGTCTTTCTCTCATTGGCACAAAGACAGGATGAATACGGATCAGCATATGGTTTAAGAGTGAAGGCCGTGGATGAAGCTGGAGTTACTTTAACCTGCCAACAAAACAGTACACATGGAGCAAAGACACGTGACCTACTCCATATAGATCCATTTTAAAGAAATAAAAAACATGGCAGACCATGATGCACTTAGACAGATAGTTGAAGACTGTGGCCTTCAGATCAAAAGACTCCCCACGGACGACAGAGTATGGCAGGGAGAGCTCCAGGAAGAAGGGCTGGAAGACCGTCAGCAGAGTAGGAGGAGCCAGACCGAAACCTTTCGAGGACAGGCAGAACGCCTCCGTCTCCCATGTGGTGATGGTGTCAGGAACCGTAAGAGGAACTTGTGTTGATCCAGTGGCTCTGAAGAAAGGTCACCAGAAAAAGTATTGAGGGGGGCAGGAGCATTAAAAACTGTGGGGAAGTAGGTTTAGATGGAACAAAAGGAGTTTTACGAACCCCACTTGAGCAAGCTGCCAGAACCAGGTTTCTGGAAAGTAAGTCCTGACAGTCACGTCAAAAGAGGAAGTGTCGCCTCCAGCACTTTCTGCTACTGGAGAAGCCAATGCCTTGGCTAAAAAAGCACCATGAAAACCCCCTGAAAGAGACAAGCAATTTTACACCCAGATCTTCGAAATGGTCCTAGTGTCCACAGAATACACAGGGTTCAAAACTTCAAATTTATGCATGGTGTGGCCAGTTGTAGCCTTAAACATTTCAATTGTCTTTTTTACATGGCACATTAAAGATCATATTCAGAAACAAAAGCCAATATAGACCATTACAACGCACGATATTAAAGTTTATCCAATGGCTTGCAGTTTCAGGTCACAGATTACTTATGTTCATAGTTGGTAGCTTAAGTCGTGTAGCAATTTCTAGAGTAAGAATCAGACTAACGGACATACCGTCACGGAAGTTGCGATAAAAATTCAGGCCCTTGTACTTCAGACACTGAGGTACTCTGATAGGCAGATTAGTTGTGACCTTCATCCCCACACTCTGTCAGAAAAAGACAAAAACATTTGAAAAATTAGCATTTAGTAAAACACAGGATAATTAACACTTTTCTACCTTGAAGGTTTCATAGGTTTGGTCTGCAGAAATATCTCGACGGGCTCGAAAACGCAGACATTCCTGTTCATCCTCAACTTCATATGGATAATTTGGTAATGATCGCACTGGGAGTAAGTTGAACACCTGACAACAGAGAAAAGTGCTCCTTGAATACCTTTTATTTTCCACTACTAGAAGACTAAAGTCATAATGTGTTGCTTTTTAATGAAGTAGTCCAGTTTAATCAAGTAGTCCAGTCACGGCATGTCAGGGTTTTCCCTACTGGAGTTGAATGCAGTAAACTAAAGTGTCATTCTAATCAGATGTGCCACACACTAAAATAATCGGATTTCTTGTTTGGGCTTTTAATCTGAATGAGGCACACAGATACCCTTTCAGCACTCAGACGTCTTCCTGGCTCTATGATCCGGACGCTCTGATCTACAGCACTGAGGCCACACAGAGATCCTGCTTGAGCAGAAACAGTCAGAACGTTTCCCTCCGCAGGAACAGCCGTAGCTGGAGAGAACTGCAGAGACACCTGGAACAAGGACCAACACGCTGTAGGATACACCACCATTCCCCAATTGAAACAAATAGCCATTGCACATCATACAGTACCTGATTCTGGAAACACGTATCCGTGTCAAACGACACACTAGTAGCAACTACATTCTCACTGGGAAGAACGCTGTAGACCAGAATCTGCACTGCTGGAGCCATATCAACGCTGACAGACAACTGGAACGTCACGGAGCCGCTTGTGACTGCATCACAAGCCTTTGCTTTGACCGTCTGAAATCCATGGAGGACGATCACTCCTCTGGATAAGACCTGACAGATGACATAGGTGCGCAAGTTGCTGAACAAACAGACCAGCAAACTTTAAAAGCTAATGTCCACTCACCATATAGATTATGTCAGCGCTGTAGCTACCAGCCTCTCCAACAAATGAATACTCCACGGTCACCGGAAACGAAGCACCACATTTGAGCGGCTGTTTGAGCTTCACTATAGTCAGTTCACTAAACGATGGGTTGTCAGGAGAAACAGGTTGGAGAAGCTGAACAACCTTCGTATCTGTAGTGAAGTATGGCGATTTATAACCATAAAAAACCTCTGGAGTCGCACTCGCCTGGGGAACAACGAATTGAATCAGTTTCATGCTAGAGAAAGTCTTAATTTCACAAAATACAAGTCGTACCAGCAGATTCAGATCAGCCTTAGGAAGATCAACAGTGTTGAGGGAGAACGCAGCCAGTCCGTTCTCGTTTGTGGTTAGATTCAACAGCGGTTTGTTGGGCCAGTTGTTACCATCCAAGAGATACACAGCTTTGTTTGCAATTGGAGTCTTATCAAAACGAGTCACGGAGATCTGTTGGGAATGAGCAAGGTTATAAAGGGAACCAATGTGAAGGCTTCTGCGATAAAGGGATGACATTTTGCTTGCCTTTCCATTAATCAATGATCCAGGTTCAAAATAAGGAACCAGGAGGTCCACAAACGTGACTTTGCCGACTTCAAACGTAATGGACAGCATTGCAGATTTTGACATCATTACATCTGCATGAGAGAAAATCCAAACAAAAACAGTGAAGAATGAGATCACCTTTAAGTATGTGCCTTAAAGTGGATGTCTTGTAAAGATGATAAAGTATGTGGTTCAGATCAGCCAATAGCTCACCTGTTCCCTCCTCAGTAACATTCACATTTACAAGAAATGTGTCTTGCATCTGGTCTTCAAATTTGGTGTTGAAAAACACTGATGTATCGACGGTAAGAGAGACACAGCCGGTGGCATTCATCTGGTAGCAGAACAAAGGTAGTCACATTTAAGTCAAGCACAAGCAGAAGAAAAACCCTCAGCGGTAAGGCAGGAGTCGCACCTTTGCTGTTTGATTCAGGCACTGTCTGGTCAAATTATGAAGCTGATTGTATGGAAATGGATCACGGCACACTTCCACTAAGGCTTGACCAGGTACAGGTTGGCCAAATGTATATCTGGGAAACATCACAAAGAACAGGATAAAGAACTGAGTCAAGTCAAATATATTTATATAGCGCTTTTCACAATACAGATTGTATCAAAGCTGCTTCACAGTATCAATCAAAACAACTTAACAGTGTTTGTTTATTACTGGAAAAGACATCCAAGTTTGGTAGAGCTGATCAGTGGTATGATGGGTCATTTAATTTGAATATCTGTTGGGAATGATCAACCACAAGACAAGAAAATAAAGCATCACTCACTTGGCACAAGCCTCAACTTTCAGTCCCATAACTGCAACACTGTATGTCTGTGGCGTGTTTACGGTCACATCAAACTTGGGCAAAACTAAACCAGAAACGAAGCGCTTTAGGTTAAGACCTCAGATCTGTCATTGAACTGCACATATACAACGACTTACCGTATTTTTTCACCTCAAAAACTTGGGAGATTTCTCGGTCGGCAATAAAAGCCTTTAGTGTGTACATCCCCATCTGAGCCTCTGGGTTTAACTCGTGAGAAAGCTGCAATATCCACCCCGTTGAGGAAACGTTTGTCCACTGACCAATCCGGTTATTATCTTTGTCCTATTAAAAACGATTAACACCTCAGAAAAACTGCAAACATACCAAATAGTGCAAAAAGCTGCATTGGCTCCACAAAGACTTGCACCGGAGCAAACTCTCACCTCCACCACAACCAGATTGTACTGCAAGACAAAGACAGGAATAATAAATATTTAAAAGCAGTCATTGAAGTTGAAATTTCTGCATCTTAAAAGAACCTGCATTTAATTTGCTTTTCATTTATGGTCAGATCACTCAAAATGGGGAAACATCTGGTCTTACCATTTGATCAAAAGGCACAAATTTGGGATCCATGGTGACAACTCTGAAATTAACTGCAAAGACACCAATAAACTCACCTTTATTGCATAATGCATTTGAAGATGATCAGAAATTTTAGCGTTATGGACTTTCTAAGGGTCATTCACAGCTCACCCGTTTGTCCTGGATTGTAAATAGGTTTGTCTGTTTGGATGAAGGTCAAAGATAGGTAACGTTTAAACATGATTTTGCTCTCTTCGGTCGCTCTGAAGACCTTCCCTTGAACTTCCACCTTCAGCTTCTGCACCGATTCTCCGTCGACCCGAGGAGCCTGTAGAGAACTTCAGTTAACAGAGAGAAGAAAAAAAAACAGACAAAAAGAGCCACACGCGTCTAATGACAGACCTGGAAGCAAAAGCAGCGGTGAAACACCGTTGAAGAAACATGCTTCACAAGTTGAGTCGTCTTGTTTTTCTCACCAAGCAGAGAAACTGTCATTGTGAGGCTCTCTTGGGGTTTCAGAAGAGTTATGCATAATTTGGAGTCAGATCCAGACTCAATCACTGCAGGGAAATTCACCATGAATAACCTGTGGAAAAATACAGAGGTTTAGTTTCAGAAACCACAGGACATCATCCATTTGATCAACAACGAAGAGTAGTAATGGTGTTGAAGGAAAGCTTCAATGGTTCACAAAGCTTATTTTAACCATCTATAAAGTTTAGTAAACAACTCCAACATAAGAACAGATAACAGAATGCTTCTGTTCACTTCAAAGCCTACAGTATTTAATGGTACTTACGGCCCTGGTATTTTAAGTCCATCAACAGCAAAGAGAAAAAGGGCTAAAATGAGCCCTTTCCAAACACAAATCTCCCTCACAGCCATGAGGACTAATCACTAAGACTAAACCTAATCAAGCCACTCTTTCAGGAATCTTTAAGCTTCTCTTAAGATGTAGGCTTCCACTGTTTACTGAAGCGTCTCTAAATCATCTGCACTGACGACAGCGATATATCTCTAAATATATCGGGAACACATTCATCTCGTTATTTTAAATAATTAACCACCACCTGGCTGTAATTAATTTTATCCTTTGATTAGGAGTTCCAACTGGTGTTGATTTGAAACACGACACATAATGGAGGTTAGCGGGGCTAGTTGTTTACTTCCACACATGCTAGCATGACGAAACTTAGTGAATTTACTAGTTGCCATATCAACAACACTATATATAGAAATATTTGGAAGATGTCACTGAACATTTATTTAACCATAGCAAAAGTAAATTTCTTGTGTTCATTTTTCATTTTGTTATTTATTTAAAAGTCTGATATTATTTTATCTTATATATGTTAATTAACAGTTGAGATAGTTCTTGAAAGCTGATCTAACAGCAGAAGACACTAGCCGGGTTTAAATCCTATATTTAAAGATAATTTTGTCCCAGTTGTGCAGGCGGGGCATGTTGTCACACCGTGTTACAATGAGCCCCTTGCTTTTCTACTCTATACTTATATGAATTCAATTGAGAAACCATGAGAAAAAGGTGAATAAAGACTGAGAGTCAATGTTCAGAAATTATTAATTATTATGTTTTGAACTATGCTGTATAGCTGTTTTGCTGTGTTTGTTGTCAAACTCAGTAATTAATTTATTTTTAATTATTAGAAAATGCCATTATTTTATATGAAAAGGTTAATAATTGTATTTTATTGAGAAAATAGTTTATTTTGTCTTATATACACATTATTTTAGATCAGATAACATTTTAAGCTGTCATGTTACAATGTATGGGGCATGTTGTCACATCTCACTTCCATTCTTTCGGGGTATATCAAAAAAAGTATACACTGTATTAATGAAACAAAACCACATAATTGTACTAGACGTGAAATTATTGCAGGAAAAATAAATACTCGTTTACACAAACTGAAAAGGTCAAAAGGCGTTAGGTTGTTTGGTTGAATGTAGTCTCCCCATTCTCAAACAATGAATGTAAGTCTTTTATTTTTATCTTATTGAAGAATCTGTATTGCTTTTTCATAACTTTGAGAGAACCTTTGCAGGTTAGCCACTGCTCTGAGAGCGTTCCTTGTTAGTTGGGTAAAAAAATCAAAACATAGAAAATTACAAACCAAACCATACTTTCAGTGGTCATGCTGCCAGAAAAGACATTATATTTAATTAATGTACATCTTCAGTCTCTTAATGTGAATGTGAGATGAGTTGGGAGAGGCCTGAATGGGAACATAATGACAGAAAGCTATACTCTCACCCTAAAGCCATGTTCCCATATACTAAAGACTGACTAAACAAGAGACACCGGACCAGTAAAACCCAGCACCGCCAGCAGTGAGTGCTGTAAAAGCTTTAGTGTACAAAAAACAACTATTTAGTGTCTAAGAAAACAAGCCTAAATAGCAAACACACAATCTATTGCAATATGTACTCACACTTTTTTAAAAATCTTGCAAAGTATAAAATATTGATCTTTCCTTACAATTATTTTCATAACTGGGGGAAATGATATTATACTGTAACTGACACTGTGACGCACGAGTAAACATTTTGATCACAATTATGTGGAAATTTGAAATCAAAGTGACAGAAAAAGTCACAATGAACCATGAACGTGAATTAGAACAGGGTCAATATTGATTTTTATATTGACTTTAAACTCCAGCTATTTGGGTCAGCTGTATCTGTATTTTTTATATAAAATGTTTTGAACTGGCAACTCAAGCTTTTGTTCAAATAATTATATTTAAAGCTTTTATTTCTCAGATATTTCAACATTCAAATTGCAAATTGTTCTTCTAACTAACAAATATTAAAAAAGTAGCTTTAACAAAGATTATTTAGTGTGAACTGAAAGAATACTTCAAGTAGTTATTTAGAAGCTGATGAATTAGAAAAAAAAAAAAAAAAAATTTTTTGCTTATGTTTTATCATTTGCTTATGTTTTATCATTTAATCATTTAGATAGATCTTAGATCTATTTTTAGAAATCATTATTATCATGTGTATGTGTTTCTCATTACTATCATTTTGATGTGTTTACCATTATTATCATTTGAAATGCATGTTTAATCCTTTTCTTTTATTAATCTTTATGCGTCAGATAGCTGTGAACTTTTGAACTTGCTGTTTAGAAGAGGTCAAAAGTCTGTAAGTTTCTAATAGACAGACCACAAATGCACGAATGTCCCAGAATAAAGTGGTAAACAAATGTTATCTTATCTAAACATCTTGCAGAAGAGACATGTTGTGTCTTTACTTATCTTTAGGCATGAATATGATACTCAGAGTGTTTGAATTATATTTCACACTGTAAAACATAATCGTGATTTTAACGGTAAAAGAAGTGAAAAACTGTCAATTAGTTAACAGAAAGTTTCCGTACTATATTCAGTAAATAACTGTGATAGATTTAATGGTACATTTAATGTAAAATACTGTAAAATATAGTTTTTTGAAGTTTTTAAAAGTGAAAAAGAACTCATAATTTTCAGTGAAAAAACGTAAATTGACACTTCACATTTGATGTATTTTTGTTGAAATAACTGTTTCTTCATAGTTTTCTTAGTTTTTTTCTAATCAGTTATGTACATTAGGGTTTTATGTTACATGTAATGTTGTTAAATTAATGTTTATTGCATTTTTAAAATTTCATGTGTGTTACCATGATGGTGTTAAGTGTTAGTGCGAATGTGCAGCTTCCATAAATTTTCATTAACTTTCTTGTGGAAGAGCTGCTTCTGACAGCTTTGATTGATCATGTGACTCTCATCACTGCTGTGGTTATAATACACTGGTGGTTGTCAGTGTATTATAATGGTACAAAACAGATATTAATACTTCAATAAGTCGGTAAATTAACATTATATCAGATGATGAAATACGGTTTATTACTGTAAATTTTAAGTTATGTCTGTAAAATCAATAACGTTGCTACCGTATTTTCTGGCAACCACAGCTGCCGTTTTTTACCGTAAAAATTACGTTTTATTTTTTTCAGTAATATTAGAAGTGATTTCAACTGTTCATTTATGTTTCTTTATTAAACTTTTAATCCGGATTATGGAAGAATTCATTTTACTCTTCATTTATTACCGTAATTTGAAATAAAATGTGATTTAATCATCTGACTGGATCTCCTCCATCAGAAGCAGAACGCAAATATAACGTGTGTTTTCACAACTTTCCATATTGAGTCAAAGAATTTTACGCTGAAAAATGTTGTGCAAGTTCCCAGCATGCATTGCATCTTGAAAGAACTTTGTGACAACTATTAAAAAGTGATTCCAACGATTTTGTTCCTTTATGCCGTTTTTGGTATAGTGGTGTGGATTATTAAAACTTTATAGCTATATATTTGTATTGTATCCTTGTGGCTGCTGTGAGGGAAAGATCAGCATGAAATTTTGTATTTTAATAGTTTCTCCTGTAGGCCTAATGAGAGAAAATGATACTTAAAGGCCCGTTCGCACCAGGGATATCATGCCTTTTCTTCGGCTAACCCAACACCAGTGTCCCAAACCGACACTGGACGGACACACGGGCCGCGGGTCTGAGAAAGTCCCCGACACACCAGACAAAAGACACACACACACACACACACACACTCGTCCCGCTCAGGGGATTCGCCTGTAAAAAATAATCGTGATTTTAACGGTAAAAGACTGTAAAAATGCTACAGGGAAAAACTGTTAATTGGTTAACAGAAAGTTTCCTTACTATATAACTGTGATAGATCTAATGGTAGGCCTACATTTACTGTAAAATAGCCTACCGTTAAATTTACAGTTTTTGAAAGTGAAAAAGAACAACTCATTGTATAATTTACAGTGAAAAAACGTAAATTGACATTCCCACAATTCCCTGCGTGACACTTCACATTTGATTTCTTCATAATTTTCTTAGGTTTTTTCTAATCAGTTATGTACATTAGGGTTTTATGTTACATGTAATGTTGTTAAATTAATGTTTATTGCATTTTTAAAATTTCATGTGTGTTACCATGATGGTGTTTAGTGTTAGTGCGAATCACACTGTGCAGCTTCAATAAATTATTATTACCTTTCTTGTGGAAGAACTGCTTCTGATGAGCTTTGATTGATCATGTGACTCTCATCACAGCTGTGATTGGTGGATGTCAAATGTAATACAAGTGTACAAAACAGATATTAATACTTCAATAGGTAGGTAAATTACATCAGATAATTAAATACGGTTTATTACTGTAAATTTTAAGTTAAGTCTGGAAAACCAATGACGTTGCTATCGTATTTTTGACGGTAAAGTTCTGGTAACCAGAGGCACAGCTGCTGGTTTCTTACTGTAAAAATTACGGTTTATTTTTTACAGTTCTCACAGAGACAGACGGTTATCAACATACAGTATATAGATAACTGCAGTTTATTCTAGACAAGAACCGCACACTTAGACAGGAAGACACTGTGTGACTGACATGTTCACGGCTAATCACAGTGTTATGCACTATTTAGGGTGGATATCTGAAATAAGTGTTAGGCTACTAATACACTATAAAAAAATAACTTAATTTTCAAAGTTAAAAATAAAACAAATATTATTGGAGTACGATTTACAAGAAAATACTATTTCAGTCTTTCTACTTCAAAATACTTCAAAATTGTGAAATTTACTAGAAACTTCAGAGTAAATGTCAGTATCTAATGTAAATCTGGAAGTTCAACTGCATTAAATTAATAAACCGCCACACTTATTTTTTCCTTATTCCTCAATGTGCTCAAATTATATTATCGGATACTCTATCAGGCATAAAAATACATTATTTTAAACAGATTCTAAAAATATTTTATACACTTTGGTATTGAATTACATAAAATCAATTTAAAATTGGATTCAATTTAAATAAGTCAATTTAACCATTCATTTTAAATATAAGTAGGCCTACATAAAATATTTAAAATCAATTAATATTTTTCTTTTGTATAAATATTTGATCTCAATGCACTTTGGTGTTGAATTACACAAAATCAATTTAATATTTAATGTAAATTAGTACATTTAAATATTTATTTTAAATACAATTTATAAAATTACATTTAAAAATGTATACTTCTTTTGCTTAAATATGTAATCTCAATACACTTTGGTATTATGTAATATGAAATTGCAATTTAGAATCGAATTAAAAGTATTTTAAATGACTCAATATAAACATTTATTGATTTTTAAAGGTGCTAAATGTAGAATTGAGAAACTCTTGTTATTAGTGACACCGGTGGCCGTTAAGGGAACTGCAGCTCGTTCTCACACTTATCAGTAACACACAAGAGACTGAACGCGATTCAAGACCTGATATTCTCACGTTGAAGTTCTTTCGTTCTTCACTTAGAAGTAAAAAGAAGTTGGAAATAGCTTTGCAGTGATTTACTGTTAACGAACATCCCGACGCCGTCCACTGCTGAGAGCGACGTTTAGATGAATATGTGCTGCTCTTTCCTCTCAATAACACAATAAACACACACAGAAATGAGAAACATCAGTTCAGAAAGCATCTGATCATAGAGAAGTGGAGATCAGCGACAGATGAGCTCATTAAAATCACACTGTTATGATAGTTTGATTATAGAGTATATTCGAGATTATAGACTCTATAGATCTGACTATGTGAGACTGTAGTTTGAATGAATCTCTTTTCTTTGCACGACACATTGACATTACAGTCCAGAACGGCTCTTTCAGCATTATCCTGAACATTGTATAAGCATTAGTGTCATTGAACAGAAGAGAGGCTCTCGGGAGTGTGTATAAAACACACATCTAAGATTTTCCCGCCAAAAACGTCCCGAGTCCTAAACATAAAAATCAGTCGACAGGCTCTCAGAGACAAACTAGGAAGTCTCGTTACAAGCTGTTCACACATCGGCAGTAAAAAAGAGATCCTACATAGCCCCTTTAAATATAATTATATTTAAAAACAGTATGTATTTTGCTTATAGCAACATCTTTAAAACGTTTTCCCCCATTGAGCTTGGCACATTGCATTATGGGATAGCCCTCTCCAGAAAGGATGCATAAGAAGCCGACCTCTAATATCAATTATGGATAAATATATACAGTACAGAACTCGAAAAATTAGAATATCGTGCAAAAGTTCATTTATTTCAGTAATTCAACTCAAAAGGTGAAACTAATATATTATATAGACTCATTACATGCAAAGTGAGATATTTCAAGCCTTTATTTGTTATAATTTTGATGATTATGGCTCACAGCTTATGAAAACCCCAAATTCAAAATTAGAATATTGTGAAAAGGTTTTCATAAGCTGTAAGTCATAATCATCACAATTATAACAAATACAGGCTTGAAATATCTCACTTTGCATGTAATGAGTCTATATAATATATTAGTTTCACCTTTTAAGTTGAATTACTGAAATAAACGAACTTTTGCACAATTTCAAATAACATTGAACATATTTTTAAGAGCAAACCACTGTGACTTGGAGAATTATAGCACTGGGTGAAGAGAATAGATCGAAATCACAATGTGTCAAAGGCAATAATGATTCTGGAAGCTGTCCAAACTTCATCACCACCATCGAAGCGATTGAACTGATAGTGTGTCTGCGGCCGAACACTATTGATGGTCTCTATTTAAAGATTATTAAAAAATGCTGTTAGTTGTGGTTTAATGTGTAAAAATGTGAATACACACACACACTCATGTTACTAGGTTTTTGGATGAACCAAACCGCACCTTTTGTGAGCGCAACCTGAAACCAGAGATGCTGTGAAGGGCTGGCTTTACTGTCTTCTGTCCTCCTCCCGTTTCCTCTGCATTCACACGAACCAGGCAGGGACGAGGTGTCAGGGCATTAACATATACAATGCTGTTGTACTTTTTTTTTTCTTTTTTATTACATAATAGGTTCTAGAGCGGCCAGGTACTTATAGACTCACAAGGTTAGAGAGATGAAAGACTGCGTTGCTCTTCAGCCGGATGCACTTTTTTCTTTTCCCAGCTAACTCAAGAGAGTTGAAGAAGTGTCCTGTGAGCTGTGGACTGTTGCTTTTTTTGTGGAAAAAAAAGAATAATTTTGCTTGTGAAGAAAATTGCTTTCCATCAAAGGTATGTTTATGTATCATTCTCATTATAGGGCATCATTTAAAGTCATTTTACAGGAATTTTTTTTATTTATTATATATATATATGCAAAAATAAAATAAAAAATAGCATATATTTTTGCAAATTTTCTGCTATAATTCTGGAAGTAGTTTTGAATTGCTATTTATTATTATTCTGCAAATGCATGTTCTTTTAATTGATTATTTAGACTTGTTGCGTTTCTGTGTTTTGATATTTAGAAAGGGAAAACATCTTATTTTAACCATCAGAACTTATTTTAACCAACTGAATCTGAATTTTTTTAACACCCAGTTTGAAGTCTCTCGCGGTCAATCTGGGACTTTAAGGGGGTATTTTCGCGAGCGCCTGGGATCTGTCAGTGTGAGAAGGAGAGGGAGGGGAAACACAGGCGACACAAAAGGCAACATTATTCCCTCGGGGACCCATGCTGCATCCAGCCATGAATGGAGTATTGAAAAACATAATATTGGTGACTAGATTAATTTTCAGGCCCTCACAACTGCTCCATTTTGTCTGCAGGCTCGCAGCGGTTTGCGTTAGTAAATGTCTCTAATTGGCCGCACAATCAGCTTTCTGGACGACAGGGTTTCAGCTCTTCTAATGCACAATTTCTCTCTCTTCATCCTTTCTGTTGCTGTTTGGCTTTGGCTCGTGCAGGTTTAGGATTATCTTTTAGGCACATGCGGAAGAGAAAATAACAAATGAGATCTCTTACAATTCATTTATGGCTATTTTAGATAGTAATACTGATATTTTGAGTAGTTTTTATTTTTATATTGGCTGTTTTCGTTTTCATTTTAGTACAAGTTTTAGTCATTTTGATGCCTTTTTAATTTTTGTTTTATATTTTTATTTATGAAATTATAAATGAAATTGAGAAATCGTCCAGCACCGTTTGGCGTAGACCCATGAATGAGGACGAGGTGTCAAATCATGTGTTTTATTGAGGACAACACAGCTTTGACTATTATAGACTTTTATAAGAGATAAAAGATAAAACTATGTTCGTACAGCGGGAGAAAAATCCCATGACTTAACACTGGACAGATCATTGTATCTCTGCATCAGACTGTGTAGAGATTTGGGCGTGGGCTCATTTCACTCATGGTGACATTTCAACTTCCTAGCCACACCCTAGCAACCAGTTACAAGACCCTAGCAACCACCCCCCATAGACTTCCATTGAAAAAGGGCAAGAGGGATATCCCTGGATCAGAACATTATAGAGATAAGGTTTCAGTTTTGACTAAATATCACCCTGCAAACAATCATTCAGAGCACCCTATCAACTGCTGTTAGAGTGATCTGTTATCAGAGGTAACTGTCTAAGTTATGCATTTCAGAAATATACATATACAAAATCACAGTTAGCGAAAAAGGAATTCATTTAAACAATGTAATAATTTTAATGCAGAAGCAATGAGCTAATTGAAGTATGAATACTTGATTGTTAACAAATGTGACCCTGGACCACAAAACCAATCACAAGGGTGATTTTTAAAAAAAATTAAGATTTATATATCATATTAAAGCTGAATAAATAAGCTTTCCATGGATGTATGGTTTGTTAGGATAGGATAATATTTGGCCGAGATTGAGAAAATCGCCTTTAAAGTTGTCCATTTATGTTCGCGATTTTGCTGCATCCACTCACAAAAATATATTTTTTATATATTTACAGTAGGAAATTTACAAAATATCTTCATGGAACATGATCTTTACTTAACATCCTAATGATTTTCGGCATGAATCGACATTGATTTTAGACATTGTATAGGTCAAAATCGATAATTTTGACCTATACAATGTATTGTTGGCTATTGTTGTGCGACTTGAGCCTGGTTTTGTGATGCAGGGTCACCTATGATTATGACATTTAGAAAAATGTAGCATTGGTGCATATTGATTCTGAGTTCGCGTCACCTGAAGTCTTCGCGGGACCAGGGCAAACCAGCGCTGTCCTCCAGCCCTCCTCTCGCCCCCCCCCCCCGGCGCCCCAGCCTCGCGCTCAGGACAGTCCCAGTGACAGATTCTCCGGAAGGAGCGTTTAACTGGCGACCACAGACAGCAGAAATGTCTTTTTGTGCACCGAGGCCCGGAATGTTCACTATCTTTCCCGCGGAATATCATATTCTCCCCCAGATCCCAGATCCTGAGCCCTATCCCACCAGTTACACGCATTCCAGTGTAAGGTCAGGAGGGTTTTAGGAAAAACAAAAAAAGGATAATACACTGTAAATCCAGCTATGGTTAAATAAACATTTGAGGAAACTGGTTGAGTGAAGTTAAAAAAATTCCAGCCCTTCAAACACATGATGTATAATTATATAAAGTTAATCTTTTGTAATATCAACTGTTGACTGACAGTTTGAGTTGCGAGATTTAGTCACAAGCTATTTATAATACTTTTCATTGGTTAGATATTTGCAAAACCCACAGAAATAGGCTATGTAGGGTATGAATTATGAAAAAATTAAATAAAAATTACGAAATATGCAGATACAGGTTTCCGCCCGGCAACGATATGCAAAGACAGTGAATGTGTGTGTGTGTGTGTGTGTGTGTGTGTGTGTGTGTGTTTAAATGGGTCAAAAACCTGGAGGTGGCATCAATCTGAAAACATTTCAGATTGAAAAATTTCTTTCACATGCAAAAAATAAATCACTTCAACACTGAAATGTATAATCATTAACATATAATGCATATTTTGATTATAAATCTCTGGAACATACCACACAAACCAATCAGCGAGCTCATGCCACAGAACGATCGGTCTGCACTCGTATCGATATGTGTGTGTCCAGAAGTGCCTGTGGCCTGCAGGCTCAACATTTGTTGTTGTTGTGTGTGTGTGTTTTTTACATAACATATGAGGAGAATCTGATTCAGTAGTAGCAGTTACTGTAATAACCTCGCGTCTGTGTCGTCAGCTACAGTGAGAATAAGCGACAGTAAACGACAGAGACGGAGTGTGAGAGACTAAAGGGACTCACTGAAGGTGTGTGTGTGTGTGTGTGTGTGTGTGTGTGTGTGTGTGTGTGTGTTTTCTGCAGGTGCCATGAAAGGTCAGCGTGTGTCCGACTGTGAGCTCAGATGTTGTAGATCTGCTGCCTGGATCGTCTCCGGCCTGCTGGCTTCCCTGTTTCTCATCGCCGTCTCCATCATTCGTGCACCCAGTGAGTGAGAAGCACAGTTCTGTGTGAAGCTTTTAGATATCAGAAGATCAACACAGTCTCATGAAAGTGCGTATCTATACCACGAATGTTATTTCTCGCGCCATTTATACGCAAAAAAATGCATATGCTACGCACTGAAAACCCCTTGGGTAGGATAAAGGAGCCATAAAGTCAGTATCATATGCACGGGGAAACAATTTTTGGCGTTTAAATGGCACGAGAAATAACATTCGTTGTATAGACACGCACTTCCACCAGACAAAAGTTATGAATAATTAAGACTTTTTCATTTTGAGTCTATTATGCTCACCAAGGCTGCATTTATTTGATCAAAACCATGTGGAAACTGTGATACACTACCATTAAAAAGTTTGGGATAAAAAATATATATATATATATTCTGCAAAGACAGATCTTAAGATCGAAAGTGAAAGTAAAGTCATTTATAATATATAATTTATTTCAAATAAATGCTGTTCATTGAACTTCCTATATAAATGTATCCTGGAAAAATGTATCATGGTTTCCACAAAAGTATTTTCAACATTGATAATAATCATAAATGTTTCTTGAGCATCAGATAATCATATTAGAGTGATTTCTGAAGGATCATGTGACACTGAAGACTGGAGTATGCTGAAAATTCAGCTTAGATCACAGGAATAAATACTATAGATTCACATAGAAAACAGCTGTTTGAAATTGTAATATTTCACAACAGTATTTGGTGAGCATATAAGAAACTTAAAAAAAAAATCTGATTTATTCCAAACTTTAGACAAGTAGTGTATGATATTAGAAGTTCATATGAAACACTGCATCTACAACTTTTTAAACCAGCATTTTTTTTAGATGTGTTTATAACATATGCTTTATGGGAACAATAATCAACACAAAGACAACAGCCTCCACACTGTAACATCTAAGAGTTGTTCTAAGACTTTTTAGTTAACTTTACTTAATGTCCAATAATTTGTTGAACTTAAAACAATTTAGTATTATAATAGTATTATAATTTATTGTTGTTATTCTCTTTTTGCATATTGTAGCGCTTTGGGTCTAAGAAATGCGCGTTAGAAATAAAATGCATTATTATTAGTAGTAGTAATCTGTACTGTTTGCATGCTATGCCTTCGTTACTCAGAAAACACAAGTAAACATTACTTGACTGGTTTGAGTATCATTTTGCCAAAGCAAAAAAAATAATAATAATAAAAGGCGGGACAAATGTTTTTTGAGGCGGGGCAATTCTTAGTAGGCTTTTCACTCATTTCTTCCACTTCTGCTGTCATCAATCTTCTTAGTTGCATTCACTCATTTTCTTGAATGTTATTGTCAATACAACTTAAATTTTGGGAGAACGTCACATAAGTTGAAATTCATGAAATTCATGTTGATTTCCTCACCATTATTGTGATCAGTGTTCCCTTTGGTTGGGCACTTGGAACTTCATTTATATTATTGTAATTCTCTTCCAATTGATGCAGTGATGCAACATGAAGTCACAGTTATTTGATTTCAGGAAGTGAAGTAATAAATATTATATTTATACTTAAATTATTTCCATGCTTTGAAATAATATAGTAATGATATATAACATAACTATATTTCATGTATAATAATGATCTTTTAACATTTTATTGCTAATACTTATGGCATAAACTTTTAATTGGGTTGATATAATCCCTCTATATTTTTTGACAATATTTTGCAACATTCAGCATGCAAACAAGTTTTTTTTAATTAATTTAATTAATTAGACATTACAATTTTATTTGCTGTCTCTTGTCAGTATGACCCCAATAACGATAGCAAATAAAGTTGTAATGGTAAAATAAAGCCAAAAACAGTAAAACAAAGCAATTAATTTATTCATGCCGCAACTTCCGAGATATATCCAGCTGCAGACCCGCAGCACCACCAGTTTCAGAACCCCAGTGCCAGAACCCCAGCGCCAGAACCGGAAGTGAGGGAGGGGCGGAATTATTTACAATGACACATTTTTGCAAGTAGGCCTATTTAAAAATATTTAAAATTGTTGCACCTTTTAAATAATATTTAGGGTATGTTTTTATTACACAGTGAGTCACTGCTCGTTGTATGAACTATAACTGGTATGTGACAAATAAAGAGCAAGACAGCGCTCGTGTTGTTCGAAGACGTCAGAGTGCGCGCGCGCGGCCAGGGCTCTCTCTCTGCTCGTTAAGCGCCCTGTCACGCGCAGCAGTCATTCTATTCTACATCACTCACCGATCAAAATAGGCTTTGGCGGGACAAAAATTTGCTTTGGCGGGACAAAAATTTGCTTTGGCGGCCGCCAAAAAGCGGACGATCTGACGGGTTTTAGAATACAACCTGAAACTAAAAAACAGACCCGACCTCTATTTGAAACAGGTGTTCTGACGATTCATGCTACCCATCGAGATTTGCTACTTACTGGTTATGCGCATGTGCAGACTCAGTTTTTTTTTAACAAAAGGTAAATTTTCATGTGTTATAAAGTAATTTCCCTTTTAAAAATGCCAACTACCATATGAATATTTGTACGGTCAGTCAGCTGAACAAGAATAACTGAAAGTTTCAGTTACTAAGGAAAGGTGTGCTTTAACAAGTCAAAGATGAATATTTGATGATAACTTTTACTTTTCACACCGTTTTAAAAATAAAAACAGTAGTCTACAGTATACAGTAGCTACTCATAACTTAGAATTGTGTTATAATTGTATTTCATTTAATATTAATCGACATTCTGTGATCGATTCGCGCTAGCATTTTTCGACAAGGCAGCACAAATCGTCAGAACACCGGCCTTATATTTACCCAGACCTGCAGCCACACCAGGCATGTAAAGAGACAATCGTCTATTTGGGACTCGGCTATTATTTGAAGTACGGTACATTTTTATTGTTTCTTTTAAAACAATGCCGGATTTTCTCTCTCTTTTTAGATTTTTGACATTATTTTACATAAAGAAAAATGCATGCTGCACATGTTCTTGTGAAATAAAGTATATTTTATATAAAATGACCATAAGTTTCAAGCATTATTTTTCACCATCATGATCAGGAAGTAACTCTCATAATACAATGAAACGGATAACTATATAGAATTATATTACACAAAATCAACGTTTTAAAATGCTTATTGTACTATACCTTAATGTATCATTATAATATGTATAAAGTATGACGCTTCGTGTGTAATAATTCCGTTTCGTGTCTAAGCAAACTACGCTCCAAAACGTTAGGTGGCGTTACTCGGTTTAGAACGTAAGCTCGGCCCCTCACTTCCGGTCCTGGCGCTGGTGTTAGAACGTAAGCTCCGCCCATTACTTCCGGTTCTGGCGCTGGGGTTCTGAAAGTGGTGGTGCTGCGGGTCTGCAGCTGGATACTATTGCAACTTCCTCAGAACACAGATAGAATTAAGTTGACAAAACTTAAATGGATTAAGTAAGAAGAACTTGATGCAATTAAGTTATGATTACTTAATTCAATTGTGCAAACTCGTTGACTTAATTTAATTAAGTAAACTGAACAAATTTGTTTTTGCGGTGCAGGCTTAATGGTTCCTGGTGGAACACAACACTAATTTCTCATTGTTAGTTCAGGACGTAAATCCCCCGTTCAACGCAAACTTTTGAAAAGACAGATGAACTAAAGGTGTAATGAGGATATGGACACCTGAGAAGATGCGTATATGTGTCAGAGAGTTAGGTGGTTTCCTCTACACAACTGAACTCCCAGCAGATCAATGCTTTCCCGTGAATCTTACAAATGATCGGCAGTGACGCAAACATGAACAAAGACGTGAGATAATGTGTGTAACGTATGTGTCACAGACTGAGTGTTGTCTAAGAGAACTTCAAAAAAAAAAAAGTTATGGTAACACTTTAATTTAGGGTCCAATTCTCACTATGAACTAGCTACTTATTATCATGATTATTACTAGGATATTGGCTGTTTATTAGTACTTATAAAGCACATATTAACATCTTATTCTGCACGACCATACATCCCTTAATCCTACAATATTTAACAACGACTGTACTAACTATTAACAAGCAGTAATTGGGAGTTTATTGAGGCAATTATTGTGAGAATTGGACCCTAATCTAAAGTGTGACCAAGGGTTATAACATATAAATATATTTCTTCTGATTGAGAATTGCATATTTAAGTTACTTAATGATGATGATGTCTGGTTTATGTTGAATTGTTTTGATCTTTTCTGTGTGCAGGAGATCTCAATCTCAACCTCAAACTCGAACGAAGATCAGTTTCCAGTAAGTATCATTATAAACTGAACGTTTATATTTGTTTATGACTTTTCATAAGCAACCTTAATGACGTCAGTCGCAACATCCACGAGACACACCCTAACGACCGCATAACAACATTCTAAAAACATTGCAAAAATGTTGCAACATTCTAAACAATTTAGAACGTTGAAAACAATTTGAAAACGTACATTCTAAAAATCTATTAGTCACCATGTTTTTATACGAATGCTAAAGCTTCAGAAGTACAGTATGTGTGAACGAACGTAACGTGCCTGAAGCGTTATATTTAGAGCGACTAATGTTTCAGTGACATACACATTAATAAGCGGAGAAGCCTGTGAATTGACCTAAATGGGATGTGATGGAAAAAAGCCTCTTTTCTGCCGTCTTTGTGAGGTTCGGAAATCCTACACCATCGATTCACAGTTTAATACAATAGTTTGTATAGGCATCAGCTGTCTCAATACAGCTGCAAAACAGAAGACTAACAACACCTCAGTGTGTGTGTGTGTGTGTGTGTGTGTGTGTATGTGTGTGTGTGTGGAGCGAAGAGAAAACACCAGAGCTTTCTCAACAAACACACCCAAGTCAAGCCAACATCTCAAATGTCATAAAATGTTGAGTTATAAATTTCAATTGGAACAATATATAAATACACTTTAATGACAGCTTAAGCCAACAATATATACTTACATTTGATTAGTCATTAGAAATATTGCACTCTAATGTGTAAATATGTCAAATATTTGTCTTATTCATATATATATATATATATATATATATATATATATATATATATAATTTGGGGTCTGTAAGACTTTGGTATGTTTTGAAAGAATACTCTTAAGTCCACCAAGGCTGCATTTATTTGATAAAAAAACACTTTCTAATATTATTACAGTTTAATATAACAGAAAAATATATATAAAACTCTTGAATGTCACTTTTTAATATAGTTTAATCTTTTATATAGTTAAGTATATAAATAAAAAAAGATTAAAACAGTATTTTTATATATATATATATATATATGCTTAAGTTTTATCTTTATCTAATGTTTTAAATATATATATTTTTATGTTTAACATTGATATATATAGGCCTATATATTTATTTATATATATATATCTCAAGCTTAAAACATTAAAAATATGAAAAACTATGCATATTGATATTATTGATATATTATGATTTTTTCAATATATATCTATATATACACAGTTGTGGTCAGAGTTATTGGCACATCTGGTAAATATGATCAAAGATGGCTGTAAAAATAAATCTGCATTGTTTATCCTTTTGATCTTTCATAAAAAAATGAGCAAAAATCGAACCTTTCATTGAAGTAAAATAATTGAAAATGTGTGTGTGTGTGTTGGGTCACTTGTAATGAAATAAATGTTTTTCTCCAAAACACATTATAACACCTGTATATATAAATATATAAAATGCATAATTTAGGATTTCAAAGAAAACTAAGTAAATAAGGTCTCATATAGTTAACATTAGATAATAACACTTTTTATATATATTCTATACATAACTTTTCTGAAAACGTATCTCAAGTGGCTCATTAATGCGTCTCGCAGGTCTAGACTGAAGCAGACAATTTGCAAGAAAACATAAGTAGAATTATAGATTTTTTTCTGTATAAAAGATTCGATATCCACTGGCTTGTGAGCAGAATCTGATCAGACTCACAGCGCATATCTGAATATGTGATCTGGCATTATGAGAGGAGTGTTTTATTGAGCCATGCCACATATTTCTGTCTGTCTGAATCACAGCCTGAACAGAATTCACAGTCTTCCTGTTTCAGCGAGTCTAAGATTACAGGAAAATAGATGTAGTAGATATAGAGGGCTGTAGCTATGGAGGGCCAAGAACCTCCTTTCAACAAATAATTTCACCACAATCGTTGTTTTCTCTCTCTCTCTCTCTCTCTGACTTTCTCTCCTGCTTTTTTCTCCCACAGCCAATACTACAAATGCCCCAGTGACAACACAGTCTGACGGTGAGCGTCTTCGCAATTCACTTTCTCACCCTTTCTATCTTTAAACAAGAACACACCCTTTTAAGAAAAGACAAGTTTGGCTTCGGAAAGAGAGAAAACGGATCATAATTGCCTCCAAAGAGACAAGAGAAAAAAAGATGGGTCACTTCCTCTTGCTCAGTTTACACAATCCCCTTCTCCACCGCTATGCCACGTCCTCTCTCTCTCTTTCTTTTTGGAGTCATATGTCATATTTAGACTTATTATTGTGCCTTAAGTTGAAGGGGATTAGGAACATTCTTACTGGGTTCATTATATCATTATATTTTAGCTCAACTCTAAGCCAGAGTAGATTTCATGCGCACTAGACTATGACCTTCAACCGAACACTAGATTTTTTCGGATATAATCCTTTGGTAACATCATATTTTTGGACAAAAATAAAGTTTCCAAAAAGAGCTTTTCATAGCATTTTTTCTACCCCCAAAGAACCGTTCAGTTTTTGTTAAGAACATTTTGAAAATCTAAAGAACGTTTTTGCACTTTAAAGAACCTTCGGTAACACTTTACTTGAAGGGGTGTGCATAAGACTGACATGACACCTTCATAATCATGACACGACACATATGCATGTTTATGACAACTGTCATTAAGTGTCATTCGCTCAATTATGACATTTTGAATGCAAATATGACATTGTTTGAGATGTCTTTGTTATGAGACCTTGACATAAACCAATACATCATAACCTGTCAGAGTCTTTGTTATGACACCTTGACATAAACCAATACATCATAACCTGTCAGAGTCTTTGTCATGACAACTTGACATTACCCAGACAGCATAAATATGTCATAAATATGTCATAAACATGACATAGCCGATTAATTATCAAACTTGAGAAACCACTTAGCTTTATGGGTTAACATTGCATTAAACTGTCATGTGGTTGGTTTTGACATTGGCTGTCATAAGGCCATTATAACTGTGTCATGAATATTTTTCTTGTCCTCAACTACAGTGGTACACATTGAATTTGTCATTAAAATGTTATAAAGGCCTTATGACAGGCAATGTCAAACCAACCACATGACAGTTTAATGTAATGTTAACCCATAAAGCTAAGTGGTTTCTTAAGTTTGATAATTAATCTGCTATGTCATGTTTATGACAGGTTGTGTTGTCTTAGTAATGTCAAGTTGTCATTACCAAGACACTGACAGGTTATGATGTATTGGTTTATGTCAAGATTGCATAACAAAGACATCTCAAACAATGTCATATTTGCATTCAAAATTACATAATTGAGCGAATGACACTTAATGACAGTTGTCATAAACATGCATAAAACCTCCTTCATGTTCATGACGTGTCCTGTCAGTCTAATGAACACCCCTTCAAGTAAAGTGTTAAAGATTCTTCATGGAACCTTCAATGCCAATAAAGAACCTTTATATTCACGAGTGTCTATTTTTTGTAATACCATGGATATATAATACATATGTGTGTGTGTGTCTTGCACTGCCATTCAGCTCAGTGGTATCATAATTTTCCTGTTAGACATCAAACATAGTATATACAGTATAATATAGTTATATAGTATGGTATAGTTATAAGGTAGTCATTGCTTTTCTTTAGGCCTTAAAACGGTCAAAGGGGCCTCAAACCAAATTTTGCTTAGGGCCCCCAAAGGTCTAGGGCCGGCTCTGTATACCAATATAAGGTCATCATTCAGTACCATGTCACTGCCACAGTTCACAGAGAATAAAACATGTAAAAAGAAAGTATTTCTATTAATCAAACTCAGTGCCAAATTATTTCCTGAAGTCTATTATTTGTTTGTATATTATTTGTTAAGTTTCTTCCGCTCGTCACGGCTGCATTTATTTGATTTAAAAAAATACAGTAAAAATGTGAAATATTATCAAAGTGTAAAAGAAACGTTTTCTATGTTAAAGTGTAATTTATTCCTGTGATCAAAGCTGAATTTTCAGCATCATTACTCCAGTCTTCAGCGTCGTTTTGTTTCATTTTATTTATTAAGCACTTTTACACAACTGACCATTTGAACAAAACGCTGTACAATATCTAAAAACACATAAAGACAACCATAAAAACACAACACTAAAATCACACTTAAAATAACAGCGAAATAAACCCCTCACATGATCCTTCAGAAATCAAATATGATGATTAGATTCTCAACATTTCTGATTATTAATGTTGAAAACAGTTGTGCTGCTTCAAATTTTTGTGTAAACCATGATAAACTAAGCAAAAGTTAAAAAAAGAGAATAAAAAATAAAAATAAAATAATACTAGTATCCAACACTCTAAACTGGATTGTTTTAACCCAAATTTGGGTCAAATATGGACAAACCCAAATGTTGGGTTAAAAATGTAATTTAAAATTTTAACCCAACTTCAACTTTCACTTTCAACTGTACATTTTTTAATTACATTTTTAACCCAACATTTGGGTTTGTCCATATTTGACCCAAATTTGGGTTGAAACAACCCAGCATTTTTTAGAGTGAACAAGGATGCATTCAATTGATTAAAAGTGACATGTATAATGCTACAAAAGATTCCAAATGAATAATGTTGAATTTTCATTCTATTCATCAAAGAATCTTGAAAAAATTAATGTTTCTCAAGCATCAGATCATCATATTAGAGTGATTTCTGAAGGATCATGTGACACTGAAGACTGGAGTAATGATGCTGAAAATTCAAAGGAATAAATGACACTTTACTATATATTCACATAAAAACAGTTATTTTAAAATTGTCATATTATTTCACATAAATCAAATAAACACAGACTTGTTTAGAAACGGTCTCCCCGCGGTTCTCCCTCCAGTGCGACTGGTGAACGGCAGGAACCCGTGTGAGGGTCGGGTGGAGGTTCTCCACAACGGCTCGTGGGGGACGGTGTGTGACGACGACTGGGACATGGTGGACTCGAACGTGGTGTGTCGACAGCTGGACTGTGGAGTGGCCGTGGCCGTGGGGAGCAGCTCCAGGTTCGGGCAGGGATCCGGGCCAATCCTGCTGGATAACGTGGACTGTAAAGGGGGAGAGATGGACTTGAGTCAGTGTGGGAATCAGGGATGGGGCGTCCATAACTGCTACCACTATGAAGACGTGGCCGTCACCTGTAGAGGTACGTGGAGTCAGTCGGCACAAATGTCAAGTCAAGTCACCTTCATTTATACAGCGCTTTTAACAATATAGAGTTTCACTGCAGCTTTACAGTGATAATAGGAGATTACAGTAACAGAGATTATTTATACGGAAGTGTATTGCATTCACTTGAATTAATGAGTTAATTATCTCAGAATTATGAGATAATATTTCATGGAAAAAAAGTTTTTGCTCTGTTTTTCTGAGTAATCGTAATTCGTAATTCTGAGATAATTAACTCGTTAATTAAAAAAAACAGAGCAAAAACTTTTTTCCATGAAAAATTATCTCGTAATTCTGAGATAATTAACTCGTTAATTCAGAAAAACAGTGCAAAAACTTTTTTTTCATCAAAAAATATCTCGTAATTCTGAGATAATTAACTCGTTAATTCAGAAAAACAGAGCAAACACTTTTTTTTATGAAAAAATATCTCGTAATTCTGAGATAATCAACTCGTTAATTCAGAAAAACGTAGCAAAACTTTTTTTTCATCAAAAAATATCTCGTAATTCTGAGATAATTAACTTGTTAATTCAGAAAAACAGTGCAAAGACTTTTTTCCATGAAAAATATCTCGTAATTCTGAGATAATTCACTCTTTAATTCAGAAAAACAGTGCAAAAACTTTTTTCCATGAAAAATATCTCGTAATTCTGAGATAATTAACTCGCTAATTCAGAAAAACAAAGCAAAAACTTTTTTCCATGAAAAATATCTCGTAATTCTGAGATAATTAACTCGCTAATTCAGAAAAACAGAGCAAAAACTTTTTTCATGAAAAAACATCTCGTAATTCTGAGATAATTAACTCGTTAATTCAGAAAAACAGAGCAAACACTTTTTTTAATGAAAAAATATCTCGTAATTCTGAGATAATTAACTCGTTAATTCAGAAAAACAGAGCAAAAACTTTTTTCCATGAAAAATATCTCGTAATTCTGAGATAGTTAACTCGCTAATTCAGAAAAACAGAGCAAAAACTTTTTTCCATGAAAAATATCTCGTAATTCTGAGATAATTAACTCGCTAATTCAGAAAAACAGAGCAAAAACTTTTTTCCATGAAAAATATCTCGTAATTCTGAGATAATTAACTCGTTAATTCAGAAAAACAAAGCAAAAACTTTTTTCCATGAAAAATATCTCGTAATTCTGAGATAATTAACTCGCTAATTCAGAAAAACAGAGCAAAAACTTTTTTTCATGAAAAAACATCTCGTAATTCTGAGATGATTAACTCGTTAATTCAGAAAAACAGAGCAAACACTTTTTTTAATGAAAAAATATCTCGTAATTCTGAGATAATTACTCGTTAATTCAGAAAAACAGAGCAAACACTTTTTTTAATGAAAAAATATCTCGTAATTCTGAGATAATTAACTCGTTAATTCAGAAAAACAGAGCAAAAACTTTTTTCCATGAAAAATATCTCGTAATTCTGAGATAGTTAACTCGCTAATTCAGAAAAACAGAGCAAAAACTTTTTTCCATGAAAAATATCTCGTAATTCTGAGATAATTAACTCGTTAATTCAGAAAAACAGTGCAAAAACTTTTTTCCATGAAAAATATCTTGTAATTCTGAGATAATTAACTCGTTAATTCAGAAAAACAGTGCAAAAACTTTTTTCCATGAAAAATATCTCGTAATTCTGAGATAATTAACTCGCTAATTCAGAAAAACAGTGCAAAAACTTTTTTCCATGAAAAATGTCTCGTAATTCTGAGATAATTAACTCGTTAATTCAGAAAAACAGTGCAAAATTTTTTTTCCATGAAAAATATCTCGTAATTCTGAGATAATTAACTCCCTAATTCAGAAAAACAACGCAAAAACTTTTTTCCACGAAAAATATCTCGTAATTCTGAGATAATTAACTCGCTAATTCAGAAAAACAAAGCAAAAACTTTTTTCCATGAAAAATATCTCGGAATTCTGAGATAATTAACTCGTTAATTCAGAAAAACAAAGCAAAAACTTTTCTTCCATGAAAAATATCTCGTAATTCTAAGATAATTAACTCGCTAATTCAGAAAAACAAAGCAAAAACTTTTTTTAATGAAAAAATATCTCGTAATTCTGAGATAATTAACTCGTTAATTCAGAAAAACAGTGCAAAAACTTTTTTCCATGAAAAATATCTCGTAATTCTGAGATAATTAACTCGCTAATTCAGAAAAACAGTGCAAAAACTTTTTTTCATGAAAAATATCTCGTAATTCTGAGATAATTAACTCGCTAATTCAGAAAAACAGTGCAAAAACTTTTTTCCATGAAAAATGTCTCGTAATTCTGAGATAATTAACTCGTTAATAATAATAATTCATTACATTTATATAGCGCTTTTCTAGGCACTCAAAGCGCTTCACATGGAAGGGGGAATCTCCTCAACCACCACCAATGTGCAGCATCCACTTGGATGATGCGACGGCAGCCATAGTGCGCCAGAACGCTCACCACACACCAGCTTACTGGTGGAGAGGAGACAGAGTGATGAAGCCAATCAGTGTATATATATATGGGGATGATTAGGAGGCCATGATGGACAGAGGCCACTGGGCAAATTTGGCCAGGATGCCGGGGTTACACCCCTACTCTTTCGAAAGACATCCTGGGATTTTTAATGACCACAGAGAGTCAGGACCTCGGTTTAACGTCTCATCCGAAGAACGGTGCTCTTTGATAGTATAGTGTCCCCGTCACTATACTGGGGCGTTAGGACCCACACAGACCACAGGGTGAGCACCCCCTGCTGGCCTCACTAACACCTCTTCCAGCAGCAACCTGGGTTTCTCAGAAGGTCTCCCATCCAGGTACTAACCAGGCTCAGCCCTGCTTAGCTTCAGTGGGCAACCAGTCTTGGGCTACAGGGTGATATGGCTGCTGGCGTTAATTCAGAAAAACAGAGCAAAAACTTTTTTTTCATCAAAAATATCTCGTAATTCTGAGATAATTAACTGTTAATTCAGAAAAACAGAGCAAACCTTTTTTTTTCATCAAAAATATCTCGTAATTCGGAGATAATTAACTCGTTAATTCAGAAAAACAAAGCAAAACGTTTTTCCATGAAAAATATCTCGTAATTCTGAGATAATTAACTCGTTATTCAGAAAAACAGAGCAAAACTTTTTTTTCATCAAAAAATATCTCGTAATTCTGAGATAATTAACTCGTTAATTCAGAAAAACGTAGCAAAAACTTTTTTTCATGATAAAATATCTCGTAATTCTGAGATAATTAACTCGTTAATTCAGAAAAACGTAGCAAAAACTTTTTTTTTCATCAAAAAATATCTCGTAATTCTGAGATAATTAACTCGTTAATTCAGAAAAACAGAGCAAACCCTTTTTTCCCATGAAAAATATCTCGTAATTCTGAGATAATTAACTCGTTAATTCAGAAAAACAGAGCAAAACTTTTTTTCATGAAAAATTATCTCGTAATTCTGAGATAATTAACTCGTTAATTCAGAAAAACAGAGCAAACACTTTTTTTCATGAAAAAATATCTCGTAATTCTGAGATAATTAACTCGTTAATTCAGAAAAACGTAGCAAAAACTTTTTTTCATGAAAAAATATCTCGTAATTCTGAGATAATTAACTCGTTATTCAGAAAAACAGAGCAAAACTTTTTTTTCATCAAAAAATATCTCGTAATTCTGAGATAATTAACTCGTTAATTCAGAAAAACGTAGCAAAAACTTTTTTTTTCATCAAAAAATATCTCGTAATTCTGAGATAATTAACTCGTTAATTCAGAAAAACAGAGCAAAAACTTTTTTTTCATCAAAAAATATCTCGTAATTCTGAGATAATTAACTCGTTAATTCAGAAAAACAGAGCAAAAACTTTTTTTTCATCAAAAAATATCTCGTAATTCTGAGATAATTAACTCGTTAATTCAGAAAAACAGAGCAAAAACTTTTTTTCATCAAAAAATATCTCGTAATTCTGAAATAATTAACTCGTTAATTCAGAAAAACAGAGCAAAAACTTTTTTCCATGAAAAATATCTCGTAATTCTGAGATAATTAACTCGTTAATTCAGAAAAACAGAGCAAAAACTTTTTTTCCATGAAAAATATCTCGTAATTCTGAGATAACTAACTCGTTAATTCAGAAAAACAGAGTAGATTTTTTTCCTCAAGTGAATGCAATACGCTTCCGTATGTTTAGGCTTTACCGCAGCTCTAGAATAAAGTTATTGTCCAGCTAAAGTTAGTTTTGATTGATTGATTCACTTCCATTCAAAGCTGATCTCGCATTGTTGCATGATTACTAAAAATAATATCAATAACTGCTACCGCTATGAAGACGTGGCGTCGCCTGTAGAGTTATGGAGTCAGCAGAACGTCTATCAAGAAATTATTTAGTTATACTGTCAACATTAGCTATGTTTCCATCCACCTATTTTTATGTGGAAACACATTTACCGAATAAATCCCTTGATGCTCAATAAGAAACAGACATGACTTTGCCTCAGCTGAGGCTGTGATTGGACTAACCAGCGGACCAATCGCATCGCAGCATCTCAGATGTTGGTTTGGTGTTTCTAAAACACTGAGTCAAAGTCTGTGATCAGAATGATTGGGTTTAATTCCCTCCAGAAGCGTCTCACACGAGTGTGTTCACAAACACCATGCAGCATCCGAACGCAAGAGAACATGACAGCGTTTACTGTGTTTCGTCTGACGCTCTAAGACACTCATTTATGATGGAGGGGAAAGAGCCTGATTGCAGAAACTTACATTTTTATTACAGATATTTGGGGCCAATTTCCCAGGAAGTGCCGATTTTGTTCTCTTGAACACATGAGATGGAAACGCTGCTTTATTTGGAAAATGTTTTATGCGATTTACCAATTTTGCTCATAAGTTAAATTTGGACACATAGCAAATGAACACTGAAACTTTCAGGCTAGGCTTCTCTAGACAACATTTACAGTTAAACATTCACACATGTTCTTATAGAAGCTTGTTTTCGCCAAGGAATAAAAAAATAAAAAAGTAATAGTGACTCTTCATCTCACAATGCGTTTTCTCTTGCAGTTGTGAGTTTACATCTCACAGTTCAGACTTTTTTCTTGCAATAGACATGAAAGTCAAATTAAGGAGAAATGAAGTGGATCTGTCTGTTCAAATTTAACATTCACACATGTTCTTATAGAAGCTTGTTTTCGCCATGGATTTAAAAAGTAATAGTGACTATTTATCTCACAATCGTTTTTCTCTTGCAATGTAAACCTGCAATTCTGAGTTTATTACAAAAAAAAAAAATGTTGAGAAAAAAAAGAGTAAAAATTCCAAGATTTTAACTTTGAATTGTAAAAAAAAAAATTAAGAATTGTGAGATAAAAAGTTGCATTATTCCTGAGTGAAAACAATCTTCCATAAGTTCTGTTACTCACTGCTGATGAAAGTCAAATTAAGGAGAAGTTAAGTGGATCTGTCTCAAGACACATTTTCATGCATTATTTAAACACCTGCACTAAACATGTTGGTACTAATATGTGGTGATAATTAATAATGAATGTGTTTAATGGTGTGTTGTTTGTTCCTCACAGGCAATAATGTGGTGGAGTCTCGAGGCCTGGAGCCAACAACACCGTCCCGTCTGGCCTCGGGTTTGAGTAAGTTAAAGTTGATTTTCTTACATGAGCATATTAGCTGTAAGTTTTATTTACTAATTTGTATAATTTGATTAATCAGGATGGAATGTTTTTTTAGAGAGAGAGAGAGAGAGAGAGTTGGGGTGCGTCTCAATCCGCTCCCTAGTTCAGCTGTCAATCACAGAATCCTTCCCTAAAAAGTCCCATAATGCACTGTGAAAACTAGGGTGCATCAGTGCTCACTAAATGTTTCCTTAACGGACGTGAAACATAAATCACGTGAGCAAACTCACTGTACACACGATAGATGTTTTCTAAAATATAAACTATTATTTCATTCAGTGCTGCGATTAATGTATAATTTTTTTGTATATACAGTATAAATACACACACATGCATGTATATATCTAAGAAAAAAATGTGTTATTAATATATACAATATTTATATATAATATCAATTATGGATAAATATATAGTGAAACTCGAAAAATTAGAATATGGTGCAAAAGTTCATTTATTTCAGTAATTCAACTTAAAAGGTGAAACTAATATATTATATAGACTCATTACATGCAAAGTGAGATATTTCAAGCCTTTATTTGTTATAATTTTGATGATTATGGCTTACAGCTTATGAAAACCCCAAATTCAAAATTAGAATATTGTGAAAAGGTTGTAAGCCATAATCATCAAAATTATAACAAATAAAGGCTTGAAATATCTCACTTTGCATGTAATGAGTCTATATAATATATTAGTTTCACCTTTTAAGTTGAATTACTGAAATTGCACGATATTCAAATTTTTCGAGTTTCACTTGTACATGCAAATATTTCTTAAACATATACATGCATATGTGTGTATTTATGTATACAAAATAATTATACACAGTACACACATTTTATGTAAACACAAACTTTTATTTTGGATGTGATTATTGATGATTAATCGTTTCCTAGCTCTAATTTAATTATATTTCAGGATAAGCATACACTGCTAGACAGGTACTGAACATAATCTAGCAAACATTTATAATTTATTTACAGCTGTAAATGTTATTTCATAAACACGTGTATCAATGTAACAAGCAAAGTATTTATAACATTCTTTAAATAACATCATATATGAGTTCTGCTGTTGTTCATAAATTATACCAGTAGTGATGTTGTGTAACGAGGATGTTGTCAGTGTCCCAATATGTAGTGCATATAATATAATAAGTGCACAATATTCACGGAAGCTGATTGAGATGCACCTGTACTGTTTTGTACTGTTGATTTCCCTCCAAAATGATGTCACTTCCTGGAGGATGATGTCATCCGCAGGAACTTAAACAAGACTTTACAAAAGAATGGAAATGGAATGGAAAGTGAAATCAAGGACATTTTGGAAACAGCAGTAATTTGACTATATAAATTGTTAGGGAAATGATTTAAAATTCACCTTCATATTTACTTCATTGTGATTTGATTAGTTTTAATAATCAAATAAAATAAATATTTTATATTTAATTCAATAAATTAAGACATGTATGATGAACTGCTTATTAGTGAATAACCCAAAATGTTCAATTTTAGGGCCTTTTAAGAGAAAAAATGACAAAGGTTCTGAATCAAAACTAATGTGCAGTCTCATTATAGTCAGTGATATTTTATTTTTTAATTATTTTTTAATATATTTTCCATTTTCGTTTTAGTTGTGTTTTTGTCATGTTTATTATCTTTTTTAAACAAGTCCATATAGTTTTTATTTATTTTCTTTTAAGTTTTAGCTATTTTAGCATATTAAGTTAAACTAAATGAAAACAAGAAATGTTCAAAGCAACTTTGAAAAGTTTTTTTTTTAATTTAATTACATTTATTTTCTATGCTTCTTGTTTTTTTGTTTTAGTGGTAACACTTTACAATAAAGTTCATTAGTTAACATTAGTTATACTTTAGTACTTACAGCATTTATTAATCTTAGTGTATGTCAATTTCAACATTTATTAATACGCTATTAAAATCAAAAATTGTATTAGTTAATGCACTGTGAACTAACATGAACAAAAAATGAACGACTGTATTTTTATGAACTAACATTAACAAAGATTAATAAATACTGTAACAAATGCTGATGTTAGTCAATGCATTAACTAATGTTAAAAAATACGACTTTAAAAATGATATGTTTCAAATTATATTTTAAAAAGTTACCGTTTTAGTAATAACCCTGATTATAGTTATGATTTATCCCAGATTAAAAGTGCAGCGATGAACTAAAGATGACAGCGGTTTCTGAGGAGATCGTGTTCATCCTGTCTTTGTTTTTCATGTCCTCTTTCAGTCATAAGAGCTGCCACCCATATCTAGTTCATATCTAGTTCATATCTAGAAACTAAAGAAAGCAACAAAGCCTTATGGGAATGTGTTTGGGCAATTTATGGTATGAAATCATCGGTTGAGTCTTTGTTCCTCTGGCAATATGAGAATGGCTTTTGTGTCTATGTGGCAGCATCGCTCAATATGAGAATATCAGCGTGTGTTTGCTGGAAACCAGACACACACACACACACATACAGACACATAGACAGACACAGACAGACAGACACACACACACACACACACACATACAGACACATAGACAGACACAGACAGACAGACACACAGAGACACACACACAGAGACACACACACAGAGACACACACACACACACACACACATACAGACACATAGACAGACACAGACAGACAGACACACACACACACACACACACATACAGACACATAGACAGACACAGACAGACACACACACAGAGACACACACACAGAGACACACACACAGAGACACACACACAGAGACACACACACACACACACACACACACAGACACACACACACACACACACACAGAGACACACACACACAGAGACACACACACAGAGACACACAGACAGACACAGACAGACACAGAGACACACACACAGAGACACACACAGAGACACACACACAGAGACACACACACAGAGACACACACACAGAGACACACACAGACACACACAGACAGACACAGACACACACAGAGACACACACACAGAGACACACACACAGAGACACACACAGACACACACAGACACACACAGACACACACAGACAGACACAGACAGACACAGAGACACACACACAGAGACACACACACAGAGACACACACACAGAGACACACACAGACAGACACAGACACACACAGACAGACACAGACAGACACAGAGACACACACACAGAGACACACACAGAGACACACACACAGAGACACACACACAGAGACACACACACAGAGACACACACACACAGAGACACACACACAGAGACACACACACAGAGACACACACACAGAGACACACAGAGACACACACAGACACACACAGACACACACAGACACAGACACACACACACACAGACACACACACACAGACACACACACAATAGGCTTATGATACACAAACACACTAGGCAAACTTTTTTATATTTTGTCAAAAGATTTCATTAAAAGATGATTTTTATAATTATTTTTTCGGAATTAACATTTGATGCATGATTTATTAATGCCAGGCCTGGTTTCACAAACAGAGTTTAGATTTAGACAGGATTAGGCCTTAGTTCAATTAGGACATTTTTATAAACGTGCCTTAAAAACCAACATTACTGGTGTGTGTATCTTGAGACAAAACAATGACATCGACGTATTTAAAGATATGCTTTCAGGCTAACACCTCAAACTTGCATTTTAGTCTGGGATTACTGAAGCCTGATCTGTGAAACCAGGGGTTCGTGTTTCTTCTTACTTCAAAACAAGAATGATTTGTTTTCCAAAATGGTGTATTTCGAGAGTCACTCATCAAATCCTTGTTGCACTTCCACAGTTCTCAGTCATTTGACAGTTTTTCTCAGTCGCTTTGGTACATTTCTCGAATCATCCTCGACATTTGTAGAACAGTAAGTGCATTTCTCAAAACAATTCGTACAAAGAGCAAAACACCTGCAAAAGCCATTCTCTTGCTCAAACTCCTCAGTTCATCTCTCAGAAGTACATCTCTCAGTGCATCAGAATGACAAGTGCTTGTGTCGTTGTGTACGGATAACACAGTCAAGATCGCTTAGTCATGGTGTCAGTATAACAGTGTCCTCTGGAGATGTTCTGATGTAAACTATGGATAAAGTTTTGATGAGCATTATTGTAAATTGTAGGTTACACACCTTAGTGTGTGTGTGAGTTTGATTACAAGAGACTGGACAAGATTCACATTTACACTTTTTGTACTGTAATTTGTTGACAGACCATTGCGTCAGAATTGCGATACAGAAAGGAAAAGATGTGAACAGGACAGATTTAGAAAAAAAGTCTAATGGAAATGTATAGAAATATGCTTGACATACTGTATTATGACAACTTGTTCAAGCATTTTGCATGTAAAGACTTATGCTATGAACTAATGCCTGAATGTTGTGTGTGTGTGTGTGTGTGTGTGTGGGGGGGGGGGGATGGGGCTATTCAACAGAGACCCGTTATAATACATTTTGATCAACATGACATAAGCGACTGATAATATAGGAAACCGCAGAGAATTGTTCATAATCATTTGCATGGATGAACCAAAGCATTTGCAACTTGTTCAAGGAAATGAGAAACTGCTTTTTTGATGTGCACGAGTGACACGATGATGTGAAGATTGAACAGGTCGTTTTGAGGATTTTAATTCTGATCTGAGAAATGCTAGCCTGGTTAAAACCAGACCAGTTGTAACTGAGTTATGGTCTGGCAAAGCGTCATAAGTTATGTTTCCATCCACACGTTTTTATCCGCATTAAGTGATATCGAATGAAAAATGCCTTATGGAAACAGTAAAATTCGATTGAATTTCATGAATATCGACTCAAATGAAATACGATCGGTCTCATCGGATTTTATCTTGATGGATATACGGCTTATGCGATAAACGCGGATGGAAACGTTATTATGGTGCGATCCATTTTGCCTAGTAAAACTTTGTTCGCAAATGTTGGCTTGAATGTTGTGCAATTCGGTGAGAAAATGAATGGAAACACCTTAACATGTCTCAAATCAATTCGATACACCAATATGATCGCAAAACAGCATGTGACGTCATTACACACAGGTTTTTATCCGCTTTAAAGCCGTTTGATGGAAACACACTTTCACCAGCTTTATTCGCATGAGGTTTTTTACCGAACTTCAGATAATTCGATTGACAAGTGGATGGAAACATGGCTATAGACAAATCATTTCCAGAGGGGCGTCACCAACGGACGTCGCGGATAGACCTAAACCCAATCAGAGCGATGAAGGAGATGACGTATGCAGAGCGGCGGAGACACATCTCCGAGTGTTGTTCTTTGCTCGTTTTTTAACAAAAAGGAAACGTTCAAATGGCTTAAAACAGACGCGATAGCTGATTGGAACGAGTGATGTTCGACGGCGGCATCCATCTTTGTAATGTAGGCTACAAAATCTGCTTCAAAATCCCAGCGCTGTCGTCATCGTGTAAAGCCCGCCCCAACGCTTCTGATTGGTGCCTCGATTTCGGCGGATTGGAAATGGGCTTGAATGAGCTCTTTGCCAGACTAACTTTCAGAGCAAATCTAAATTTGCCGGAAGTTGTCTGGGTTTTCCCAGGCTAGAGAAATGCGCCAAAGCGACTGTAAAACTGAAACTGGTCCTGGATCAGAGAGTTGATAAGCGTGCTCTGCTGTAGGAGACGGTGTGATCCGGCTGGCCGGCACGGCGGACCGCTGTCAGGGCCGGGTGGAGATCTACTACCAGGGCAGCTGGGGGACGGTGTGTGATGACGACTGGAGCATGGCAGACGCGGCGGTCGTGTGTCAGCAGGTCAGCTGTGGACAAGCACTCGCTGCTCCCACCAACTCTTACTTCGGCTACGGCACGGGCCGGATTCTGCTGGATAACGTCAACTGTAACGGGCATGAGAGCAGCCTGAGCTCCTGTTACAGCCTGGGGTGGGGAGTGAATAACTGCGGGCATCATGAGGACGCTGGTGCCATCTGCTCAGGTGCGTACGACATCTCTCACACATATCCTGATCAGAAACACATGCACTGATGCACTAAGAGTCCTAAAGTTTCAAAACACTAGTGAAATGCTTTCATTGTGCAATATTGAACTGAAAGATTACACTGCCGGTCCAAAGTCTCTTCTGCTCACCAAAGGCTGCTTTTATTTCATTGCTAATACAATAACAT